AAGTGAGAGGAAACTTGAAGTTGTTTCTCAAGTGCAGAAAATCACGTTGAGCTGTGCCAGCAAAGACCTATGTATAAGTGCTGCTTAAGCTTCCTAATTCATCTGACTCCATCATTTTGAAGTGCAACTCAGCTGTCAGAGAGGGAATGACAAGACCCTGGAAGTGGTCACCTTTCCAGCTGGCATATTGCTCCCAGAAGAGGCCTCGCATCTGTCCCTTGAGAGACAGACGTATGAAATGTTTGAAGCTTTGACAAACTCAAATGCAAATAACGTTGCAATAAATGTAGTGTAAGATTAGTCACCTGAATACATAACTGGGAAAGTGGTTCTGCATGTACTGCTCTGGGTGGATTTTTATTAATGGGGCTGATAGGATCAGCTGGAGGTGATGCATCCCCATAAGTAAGGAAGAGTGAGTAGGATTTCACTCCAGAGTACAGAAGGTGCTATCCAAAATTGCAAAGAAAGTGTGACAGAGCATCGATTTGCTACTTGTTTCAATAGCAACAGAAATATTAATAATGCATTCACCTTACATAAAACATAGAAGTTTAATTTCTTTCTTTTGTGTGTGTCTGAAGGTATTCAGGCCTCAGCCTCTTGGCTGTTATTTTGAAGAAAACAAGCAGTGATCTCTCAGGGACCAGGATGGTGTGTTCTGTTTCTCTCAGAGGCTGTATTGGCTTGCCAGAGCTAAATGTTCAGCTATTATGCAGATTTGCACAGAGTGCAAGGACTTTGATCTTGACAAAACTCATAGTTTGCCGAACAATATTATCTTGAGAGTGATTAAAACATGCATAAAGTGGTGTCTTGCTACTTCTCATTCTCTCCCCACCCTTTACTTCCCCCTCAACCATCCACTGCTGACGTCATTGCTGCCACTACGAAGATCTTGGTTGCTTTCAGATGCTGTCACCTGCATAACAAAGTTGATGGAGTTGTGTCGTTTCTGAGCCTTCAGAAGTGTTAACAGATGTGCCTATTCTTGAAAGCCAAAGAAGGTGCAGCATGCGAGAAACCTAAACTCGCTGTAGAAGCTGCAGGAGCTAAGAGAGACCAAATGTAGATGGTAGGATAAAAAGCTGAATTTCTTTCTATCTTAAAGCTTCTTAAAATTGAAAACTCTTTTTTATGTTCCAAAGCTATTTGAGCTATGTGGGTAGACTTGGAAGGAAGCTTGGTCTGCATGATGTGAGCTGATGGAACTGTAGTATTGGAAACACGTAACTGTGGTGTGCGTCACACTGGTGCGTAACTTCCACTGATGGATTTGTGCCTCGTGTTTGCTGAAGGGCAGAGTTGTGCTCAAAATCTCACATAGGAAAGGTGTGATTTCAGAAGTCACTTCAATTTATATCAAGAGCTTGCGAGCTTTAGATTGCAGGTTAAGAAAAGCCTCTTCCCCAGGAGGGCTGTGGAGCAGGTCAGCAGAGAGATGTGCAATCTTCACCCAGGGAGGTTTCCAGGTCAGCCCCAATCCGGCATTCCAAATAGCTCGCCTTGGAGGGGGAGGTTGGACTGGATGACCTTTGGAGAGAGATGCCTTCCAACTGCCATTTCAGTGGGTCTGAAAAATGCTAGCAGTGCATTTCCTCAGGATAATCTTGTGAGAATAAGCTTGCCTTGGAGTATCTGCTTTGTTGGGATACTGAAATAGTTAATACACGAATTCAGTCATGTATCAAATAGTGGGTCAAGTACATTTTCACTCTGTCAAGATGAAAGATCAGATGTTTTTTCTTTGGTACTGGCTGTACTGTAACCCACAAATGAATAACCTTGAGGAGTCCTGAAATTCCATAGATTTCTGACAGAGATTGGCAGAGTTTAGGTAGTTACAGGGGTTCTTTTCAACCAGAAGAATAACAAAGCAACACTGTTTGAGCACAGATATCATGAAATATTTTGAAGGTAGGGCTGACACACAGATACCAGCAGGTTGTGTGTTCAACACCACAGACTTCCACAAGTGATTTACCAATTAAAAATAGTGGAAAGAAAAATTGGACATATTGAGACATAAACCATGGGATGGGTTTGATGTAATGTTTACCTTTCCTTTGCATTAGTCATGTTTTAAAGTATTTGGAAAATGCTGTTGGTTGTTATGAGTAGGCTGAAAAGCTTTCTGTGGGATTTCCAGCATATCACAATATTAATTTAAGCTTGAAGTCAGAAGTCATAATTTTGTCTCTCTCCCCTATTTTAACCATCCCACAACAGATATGTTACATTAAGTGTTACAGCTCTGCCTGCAAGTGAATAAAGTCCTGTCAATCAGAGTTGTCCAAAGTCCAAAATTTCTGCCCTATGCTTCTCCGGGGAAAAAGAAATTCCAGTGGGAGGTTGAAAAATGAAAAGTGTAATGGGAAGATTTTCTCTGTGACAGTATGGGAAGAAGTACCGTTTTTGCCTCATTTTCGATGTATTTTTGTGGTGCCCAGTCATGGGCACTACAGAAGTAACTTCCATATGTAAGGGAAGGGCACTAAGTCCTAGGATACATCCTTTGTGGGCTTTATGGTGGGTAAGATGAAATAGGGGAAACCTACGTGTACAGACCTCAACCAAAGCTATTTCATAATGAAGTTGCAGAGAACTGTGTTGCTTTGATTGCTGCTTGTTTTAATCTAAGGTTTTGCTCTGATGCTCTAGTTTTAACTGGGGTTATTAAACTCGTTTTCCCAAGGAAATATTGAAGAGAATTTCCTGAATTCCAAAGCATTTTTTAGCAATAGTTTCCCTGCAGCTGAGGCAGGAACAAAATCAAATTTGCAGCTTAGTATTGAGAATTTGAATGATAAAATGATACAATGAAGTACAATGATCTCTGAATTCATAGACATGTCTTGAATGTGCTTATATGCTGGGTACTTTCAGAAATGTACAGAAGTGCATTTACAGTATATACTGTAGTGCAAAATAGGGAATTATATGCCAATTCCTCATAGATATGCTGCTTGTAAAAAATATAGTTTATTTAATCTCCAGTTTCACCATACTGTCCAAACCAAGGAGCCTTTCTTCTTAGAAAATGTTCCATATTAGAAAATTCACAGCTTTGACAATAGACTTTGATCTTCACTGTAAAATGAAAGGAGGAGGAAAGCTTTCACACCAAAATGCTAATAATGTTCTTTGTTAGTGCCTTTGTATTGCATGTTAAGTAGATGAGCCTATGAGTCCAAATTCTGCAGCTTGTAGGCATCCACCTTCCCATAATCCAGTCATTTTTGGACTGTGAGGTGGACTATACTTTTTTCAACTGGGAAGAATGCTGTTTATCCTTTGTAAAGTATCTGCCCTAAGTGTGTGATGGGTACACTGTCAATACACTGTTTCTGTATTGTTAAATGGGTTTATTGTATGAGTAATAATTACTCTTTAAATGTCTGAGGCCTAATGATTACATGATGGGGTTTTTACATTGTGGTTTATTAAGTGGAATGCTTGTGTTGTATTCCAGTCTCTTCACTCTCTCCAGGGAAGAAAGGAATTAAAATCCAATTTGTTAGGAAAGACCTGTATCTTTTAGGGAAGGGAAAAAACACCCAAACCAAAACACACAAACCCAAACAAATCTTTCCTAGCAAATGATGCTGGACTTGCCCATTTTTATAGTCCTTTTGAAAGCATGATGACAGGGTCAATAGGCCTGTGTGTGTTTTCAAATTATTTGCAAATTGCTGAATTCTAGACTTTCTAGATTTTTTTTTTTTAAAATCTGCTTATTTTTGTTTATACTTTGAGTCCATTCAGGGGTTAGATGTCATTGCAGTGAGCTTCTGGGCATTCTGCCAAGTCTTCAGTATTGTCAGAATCCTGGATAAAGTACAGAGAAAAATGCTTGTCTATGTTTCCTTGTAAAATTTTACAAGTGGCCTATAGCCTTGGAAGTGAGACCACCCTTGTTAAAGTAAGAGCACAGCTAGATGGAAACAGGACTGACTCCTCTTTCTCTGATTATCTGTACAGGTGGTTAGAATGTGCAGATCCCTTTGACATGCAAGAATTGTAAATGTGCATGAATTAATAAGAAAATCTGAGCTAGAGCTGTTGGGTGTTGGCAGCCACAGCGTCTGTGTTTAATATTGTAAAACTGTGTAACAGTGTAACTGTTAAGATAAGTGAAGACAAGCCTTTTTTGAAGGATCAAAACCATCTGAAATTTTAGCAGTTCACCATTATTGCCTCTTCCAGTTGATCCTGTAGGTATAATGACGTTTGGCAGAGCTATGGCCCAGTGTTCTGCAGTGTGTGGTTTTCCACAGATGTTCTCATCTGTTTTAAAAATATCACTTTGTGTAATTTTTGAAGTTGGTTTGAATCACCAATTGACATTCATTTGATTCAAATATAGTAAGATTTAGGAACAAATGAGAGAGGGGACTAAATATTATTTTTGTCATAGAATATCCTCTGGTCAAGCTGATTGTTCATTTCCTGGGTTAATTTCGGTGCAAACATTATTTCTCTGTATCAAAATATAAAAAATATAAAACTCCCAAAATATTGATACTTGCACATCTGACTTGAGGTGGAGCGAGTGCCTCATCCCTCCTTGTTCTCCTTCTTTTTCCCCAGTGTGTTTTGCTGTGTACATTGCACTGTAAAGAACAAAGCAGTGTAGCTGCAGTATTTTTCCACTGCATTTTGGAGAAGATGCCTGTAAATGAATCTGAATGGAGATTGTTATGCTTTGATACAAGTTGAAAGGAAATCTGTGTCTATGCTTCAGAGTACATGCTAGGCAAGATTATTTTCTATTGCCTAAATTACAGATTTTTTTACACGACAGTCTGAGAACAGCCATGTTGTGCCTGCTCAGAGAACAGATAGGATTTAAGGCTCTGACACTATAATGACAAAAAAAATCAAAAGTTATTTTGTTTTTCCTTTAGGAAAATCCAGAAGAAAGGTTTTTAATCTGATTGGTTTGCTGTTCTCATGTAATTGCTTCTTTTTACCAATTTCCTCTCTCTTTTTCTTCCAAGTTTGTGCTGAAGCTTTCAATCCAGATGAAGAGGAAGAAGATACAGAACAAAGGGTGAGTGAGGAAATAATTTCATGCATGGTTCTCTCTACAGATTGACAGGCAGATGTCTCTACGTTGCATTTTCCTACCACTTGTGCTTTTAGTGCTGAGCGTGGTGTGGTGACACTGACTGAGTGACATTGCTCTGAAATTTAAGGCCAGCTTTGTCTCATGCACTTTTTTAGTCACTTCAGCTTTAATATAATTTTACTTCAAAGGACTGGAGAGCTGTGCTTAAGTCTAATATCTTTAAAATTTTGGATATTTTCCTTCTTAATTATCTTCGAGGCTTGTTGAGGCAATTCCTCGAGCACTGATGCTGTTGAGAAGAATTAGTTAAGCTTTACCACAGCTGTTTCTTCATGGGTGCTTAAAATTTCTCACATGCTTTTTACTGCCTTTCTTGTCAAAGCAGTTCTGCCTGAGTAGGAGAAATACTTGGTTGAAATATTTTAAGTCTGTGGCCACCTGTTGTTTCGAAAGCTGGGAATTTCTAGGAATTGTGAATCCAGATACTGCAATTATTTTTCTTTAGAGATGGTTTTATGTGAGCAGATCCTGTAGCCTGGCTGGTGACTATCGGTGTTTTCTCTTTGGATTTCTGGTGTTCCTTTCCAGATTCCATCACAAGGATATTTACACTTCTGCAATGAAAATCTAAGTGTAATTTAATCTCTTTTAAAAACAAGCATACTTCATAAATAATTTTTATAATATAAAAATAATTTTAAAAAGACTGAGTATGTCTGGTCATCCAAATATTTGTAAACATCAGAAGTCTTAATTTTCTTGACTGCTTACTCAGTATTCAGGATCTGAGATCTGCTTAACTTTGGATAATGACATTTTAGAAATACCTGGTAATGTAACTGATTTTTTGAATCCCTGTTATTCCAGAAATAAGAAATGTTAATGTGGTGAATGTCAGGTAATTAATATTTTTATGTATGTTTTCATAATTAGTCCCTAACAAGCACATATATAAACATTTTTATGATACAGTATCAATTCCTTCAACCTGATGAGAGTTTATAATTGGAAAAAAGTAGCAAAATATCTCAAACAGCAAAGCTTTATTTTAGTTATTTTGTTGGAAAAAACCATCCTTCTTCAATAGTTAGATGGGCTGAGACTCCTATATATCATATATCTTATAAACTGCCTGTATGCCAACACTAAGTATATTGTGACTAATATAGCCAGAGTTCAGAAAGAAAACTGTTCACTTTTTCCTATTTCAAGTGTTCAGACCTTGACTGTGTCTGTGGCTGTGTTAGAAGGGAAAGGAATGGAAAAGGCATTCTTTTCTTTCTTTTATCTGTGCTGACTGTTATTTTGCAGGTGTTAATTGTCAGCATAATATTTTTCTTATGTCTCTGTAATTCTGTCATGCATTTTATGTTTATATATAAATACCATTTATGTAAACAACAAAAAAAGAATATATACTTTGACACTTAAATTGTGTTCTGCTTTTTCACTCTGAAGTGAGGGTTCGGTCTGTCATCATATTTCTTTGTTGTCATGACAGTTCTGTTTTACTTTGTTTTAAAGGTAGTTCATCCAAAAACTGATGAGCAGCGATGCCGACTGCAGGAAGCTTGTAAAGATATCCTGCTCTTCAAAAACCTAGATCAGGTAATAGCATTTTAAGGAAATCTTAATTGGAGTTGGTTGTTTGTATGTACAGTTAATATCATGATCTAACAGTCCAGACACAGTTTTTGAAGACAAGAAAATAGGATTGTCTTGAAAAGACAGGGAATATTTTCAATATAGTGGTGCCTACAGATGCTGCAATGATAATTTCCAACTCCAGGAATGCAGTAAATATTTCAAGTGCACCTAGCAGCATAAAGACTGGCTTGCGTGTTCATGCAGTGTATTTTTAGAAACTCAGCTGTGATCTACATCTTCAGCTTTGAACATCTGGTCATTGAAAATGCAGCAAAAGTATATTGTTAATGGGCTTGGGAATAACAAAGTTGGTAAAGCAGGTCAGCATCGAGGCAAGGCATTTATGTGGCATCATCTGTCTTGGCTTTCACGGCCTCCCTGGCTGTGCTGCCTGCAAAAAAAAAGTTTAGTCTTGGCTCATCAGGGAAAGCCAGCTGGAGCCTGCTGTGCACACCAGCACTATCCCATTTTCTGTGTGTTTTCCCCATCTGTACCTATCCCATCTCATCTGGGGCTGGAACTGCAGGTTCTCTGAGACACAGACTATGCAAGGAAATAACTGTATAGAATCATGGTCAGTACAGTCCTGGTTGTGACTGGGGCTCTTAGATGATAACAGCACAGAAAATTTACTCATAGATCATGGTGCAGTTTCTGGACACACATATAATGAAATACACCTACCGTTGACATGAATCCATGTGTGTCCATTGCAGTGAAGCTGTGTCAGATTATACCAAACATGCATGTGTGCTGTGGCACTCAAACGGTGTGCAAACATTGAGCCATTTGGCCATAAATTTGAGATAATGTTTCTTCTGTGGTGGAAGTGTCTGTATTTCTCTGCATTACTGAACTTTTATTTATAAGTTGGAAGTGAGTGAGGTGCCAGGAGAAATCAACATGTAATATCAGTGTTACTGGTATTTGCATACAGTAAAACTGATGCAGTGCATGTTGTGCTTCACTGTCCAGATCAAGTCAGATGAATTCACCATTGTCCAGCAGTGTATTTTCTGACAGGTTTGGGTTTCTCCCCACTCCTGCTTGTTTTTTTAGGAGCAGCTGTCTCAGGTCCTTGATGCCATGTTTGAGAGGAAGGTGAAACCTCAGGAACATGTGATTGACCAAGGTGATGATGGAGATAACTTCTATGTCGTTGAGCGGTAAGCAGCTGTGCCTGTTACGTGCAGAGGATGTTTCTTTTCAGCTTCTTAAGAAAGGGAATGTTTACTGCAGGACAGGTTTTGAAGGAACCTTACTTTTTGCAGTCATTGCCTTCTCATGTGATCTTTCCAATTTCCCCTTAAGGCCTCCATTGACTTTTGGGTCAGTGAGACAATCCGATGTGACTGAGGTGGACATTTCAAACCAACTGGGTTTTGACACATTCTCTGAGACTGTGACAACACAAATACCACTTTCTTTGAGGGGAGAGCCACAGCATGAGCTTGCCTGTGATTTGTTCAGTTTTGGTTTCTGTGCCCATCAGCATAGTACAGCTTAAAACCAGCCATATGACACGCTGTCTCTGGACCAGGCTATGTTTTTTTTTTCTGAAGAAAGGAGGGGTAAAAGCAGCAGAAGTAGCCACGTGGTAAGGGAAGGGATAGATGATTGTTTTCAGGAAGGAGAATACAGGAAATAAAAATCCATGGTAATGGCAACTGTTGAACAACCTGGACTTTGTCCAGTCAGTTTTGATCACTGACTTCAGAGAGACTTAGGGTTGCTTTGCCTCTGTTGGTCGTGGTACCTGCAGAGTTTAAGGTGCCATTTTGCAATTTTTTGCATCAAGCAAATTCACTTGATAATTTTGGGGATTACATGTATGTGCAACAGGCATATAATAGATACACATGTGCATGCACATTTTGAGTATCTTTTATCCTTTTGGAAGAAATTCTGGCTAATGTTACTTTTAATCACCATATTTAAAGAATAATTAAGGACATGAATTTATTTCCTGCTGCAAAAATGTAATATTAAACGTAATATTACTGAGTGATTTATAAATGTCTGTTCAAACACGATCTTAGCAAACTACTTTTTTGATGTGCTGTTATCTTGCTTCTCACTGAAATAATGGCACCATTAATATTGTATGAAATACTTTCAGAACAGTTCTTCCAAGACAATGTGTTTCCTTTTGAATTGTCATTTATGCTGTGTTTAAGGAATTTGTGAAAGAATTTCTAGGTTAGAAATGGTTCGTTTTAAATGATTCTTGTTTGTTTTAAGGACATTCCCCTCTCTGATAAGGGAAATTACTGAACATAGGGCTACCTCAAATATATTGACCATATGCCCGTTTCCCTGTCCTCTACCACACTGTCCCATTAGCCTAAACCACTGCTCCATTTCTGTACTCAGTATAGAAATGTATACCCTCAACTGCTCTGCCTCAGTCCAATCCCATGTCTTTGGCTAGACAGGATGAGTTCCTTCTCTTGCCACGTTCAGTGGGGAGATCAGGCTGTCCCAGGTAAGAGTAAGGTACTGCAGATCAGAACTTGTGGGAGCCAGAGCCACCAGCTCTGCAAAGATGAGATTCCATGCAGAGCAGTGGTTCCTAATCATGAGGAAATTTAAACTCAGTTTGGGATCATCTCAAAAATGTTAGATACCATCAGCCTGTTTGAATTTGTTTCTGTGTAAGGCTTTTTATCTTGTTGGTTACTAAAAGCTCCCTCTCTGCTATGAGTTTTAACCTAAAATAAAGAAGTGCAATGGAACTTTATCTTAGATATTCAGGTAACTGCTTCTATGGTCTCTGTTCTACAGATGTATTGCTATTCCAAAACAGGTTTTTTCTATTTGAGAGATAATTGTGTTGGAAGTTTTCAGGCTTTTAAATTTTTTGTTTTGTTTTACTTTCAAGTTAAATACACCAGTAACATAAATATGTTGGCAAAAATACGAGGCTGTACAGTGAGGGAAATTAAACTTGGTGTTATCCAGTGACACAGCATAGCAGCCTTTGCTGTGAACACTAAATCAGCTGCAACTCTTGTTTGCTATTCAGAAAAGTTTCTACAGTTAGGGATTTTCAGTCCTTTCTCCCTTTCCAGTCCTCCTCCATCTTTCACCCTCTAATTTTTCATGCAAAAGAGTAGGAGGATACTGGTCCTTACAGAAAGCCACAGTCTTTCCACTTGTTTGCAGGTGGAAGTTCAAAGGATTCTGGCTCTTTCAAGGCATCAGTAGGCATGTTACTCTGGTATAAGTAATTAATGCCTAAATATCCTTGAGGATTAATTTCTTCCTGTCTGAAAGAACAGTGACTTTATGTTCTGGCACAGGCCTTTTTTTTCCCATAGTCTTCTGCTTGTGATACTTCCTCACCAGATCACTTGTGTCTGAGTGTCTTTACCATGTGCAGAGGGACAGCAGGCAGGGCAGATGCAACCTGAGGATGCAGCAACTATTTAGGGCCCTCTGCACGGAAGGGAGAGCTCAGAGGGATGTGTTCCATGGCTGAACACTACGATGCTCATCGCTGCTGAGGAGGCACCTGCTGAGTCTCTGCTGATTGAGCTGTCGTCAGGAGGGGCAGCACTGGCCTCTCTTGTCTCTTGGAACAGACTGATCCACAATCTTGCTGAGTTGCCCTCTTCTGCTTTTCTGCTTTTTTTTTTTAACTCGGGGTTTTATATTTTTTCATGTCAGTACTTTTCCTTTGAGTCCATGGGCCTGTAATGATTACCATCTCAACAATTACACTTCGGTCTGTTTTTATTCCTCTTATCTTGCAGGGCTTTAGCTCACGGGCTGTCTCACAGCTCAACAACAGTTTTCCCAATAAAACTGAGCCAAGGTCACCCAGTGTTGCCTCACCAGTTTAGTTCTTGGGCCACAGGCAGCTGAATGCTTGGCTGAAAGTTACATGCCTATAGTTATTTGGAAATAAATGGCACTAGTAAGTGACTTTCAGGCTGAGGGATGGGAAGAAGTTGTTGCTTTTGTTAAGGTGTTCACAGATAACTCTTCTAGATCAAAAATACAACTTTGGAGATTGTTGCCTCTGATGCCTCTCAGAAAATTATTTAATGGATATCAGACCTTATAAGAATTAGTGACACTTTCCATCAACACTAATCCTTTTCTGGTTTACTCTTAGTATGCTGCTGGGTTCCTACTCTGTCTCATAGGTGTAAGCAGTAGCAGGTACAAAAAGTGGCTGGTGAGGATGTTGTGCAATCTCATGTGCCTTCCTTCCCCACCTACTACCATCATCTGGTGATTCCTTTTCTTTTTTTCTTATGGGCCTAATGATGTTCTGGGAGATAATGCCATTCCTTTGGACAAAGGTCTAAACTCCTCAGGAAAATTATGTGTGTATTCAGCTGCTTAAAGCCAGGAAGGTGTTCCCTAGCTGCTTTTCTCCAGGGCATGTGTTCTGTGAAGTCTCTTAGGCCAGTGGTTAGTACCTGAATGATCTCTGGTGCCATAGCTAAGAATTAATCAAGCCTACTCAAACTGTATTTTTAAATTATTGTTTAAAGCATGACAGTCTTGAGGGTGTTACAGACACGTGTTAGACTTTTAAATGGCTTTCTGTGCACAGCCTGTTTCCTTCATAGGCAGTTGCTGTAGTGCAGTTTGATCCAGATTTGTGTCATAAGCTTTGACTAGCTGGACTTGAACCTGCATCTTCATCAGAGTAGTCTTTTCTTTGTAAATTCTGATATACTGTTGCCTCAACTTCATTATAATGTAGGAAGTGTGCTTCATGGAGAACAGGGTCAGTAGACCTTTCCAATTCAAACAAATTTCAGCTTGGTATGAACAAAGTGTGAAGAGACTTCTTGTGCTTGGACATTTCCTCTTGATCTGTTCAGAGACCCTGGTAGATGTCAGCAGGTTTAGAACATCCTGGGGTTATGATATAGACATATCCCTAATCTGAATTTGAGACAAACCCACAGGAGCAGGTGAGCAGTTCAACTGAGTGTTTCTCAAAGGTCCTGCAGCAATGCTGTCACTGAGAGAACAAGTAGAGATGGGTCCAAGTCACTCTAAAGAGGCCTCACTGGGTAACACACATGCTGTGAATTGACACTGTTAAAGATGATGAAACTGTCTCTCACCCCAGCCAGAACAGCAATGTCAAAATACTGTGCAGAGGAAACCAAGTCAGTCCTGCCCATATCTATCAGGAGTGAAAAGCTTCATTAAGAGAGAATTAGTGTGAAAATAGTGTAGATAGAAGCAGCTGAGAAAGTTGGAAAGCTCAATAAAGCATGTTCCATCTCACACAGCAATAAAAAACCTGTTTGTATAACAGCAAAAAGCTGTTTTTAAGATTTGTGCTGGAATGTTGTCTAATAAAAAGTGTCTATTCCGTTGTTTTCCAGGGGACTGTACGATATTGTTGTAGCAAAAGACAACCAGTCGCGCTGTGTGGGCCGCTACGATAATCACGGCAGCTTTGGGGAACTGGCATTGATGTACAACACTCCTAGAGCTGCCACCATTGTTGCCACAACAGAAGGAGCCCTTTGGGGACTGGTAAGGAAAGGAAGTTGCGCTCACATGCATAATATTTTCTCTTGGTATGGCTCCTCTGCTCACAGCTATTTTATCATGATCTGTTATCTCATCTCCTGGCATGAGAGATCCATTGTGCAGATCTTTTTGGCTGCCTTTCTAGAACAACTTGTCTGTAAAAACTATATCACTAGTTCTATCTGTCCCTTTATGGTTTTGCATTTGCTGTAATTGTAGCTTTTGGTAGGGGGGAAAAAAACCCTGGTTTTGTTTTCATCCTGCAGAGGACAGTGGAGACAGTAATGCACATTTTTTTAGATGACGTTTTTGTTTTCCGCTTACCTTCCTACCATTTTGTCTGCTTTAATGGTAATGGGAAGGTGTTAAATATCTTCTTGAGAATGTTAGTAATTTGAAGAGGCCTGAAAAGTCCTGAAGCTTTGTTTTCCTTCACAATAAACTGTCCTGACGTTTCTGGTCCCTCTCTGTTACTTTGGAAGAGGTTCTCAGGTCAGCATGACCTATGAGATACCAAGCTTAAATGATGGTGTTGCTTTGTCTCTAGCCCAGCAGTGTTGAATGTGAAACTGTGGACATTAGTTTCCTTTTTTAGTTCTTTTCTCTGTACTATTTGGATGGGGTTATTTTCACAGTGCTCTCTCACTCATCTGTGAGGGTTCACATAATAAGCGGATTGTGCGATCAACGGAGCCTTTGAAGCCACAAGTGTTGTGTGCTGTCTGTGTGCCCGGGCTCCTCGGCAACTATCGCTGGGGGTTGGCCTTGTGTTGTGACCTTGATTGTAGGACTGATAAGCTGCTACACATGGCGAGGTGCTTATGCAATCTCAGCACCTGCTGAGAGATCTGACTTCCCTTTTCTTTGTGAGCTGAAAGAAAAGAGTTTGGTAAATCAGCCAGGGAATAATGTCAGAATCTAATTTCTGGAAGAAGGCAGAACAAAGCAGCTAGCTACAAACTGAACTCATTCATAGAAGGAAGAAAATAAGATGATTCTTTGTTTAAGTTTGCCTTTGATAAGTGCTCAAATTGGGTTAATTTTGGGTTTGCTTTTTCTATGATTATGTTCATATAATTAGGAAGGTGTAGTTGAACAAGGACCTCCTGCTAGTCATCTATCCTGTGAATCTTCTATTGACTTTGGCTACATTTTCCTGTCAAACCAGTTATTTCTTCCAGAAATTCTGTTTGTTGCCATGTTTCATTGTACTATTTTGTGCCTGATGTAATTTAAACATATTTTTATTAGTCTGCAGAAGTCATTGCTAAAGCTCGGGGGTTATCTGCCGTTTCGGAAATGTCGATTACTCCTGCTGCATTGCAGGCTTTGGCCAACAGAAGCCTGAAAGGCTCAAGCACAAAGCAGTTATCACAGTGGGTCTCTTCTGGAGCAGGGAAATGTCCTCGGCCTTTGCTACTGAATGTGTCTGGGGGAAACCTCATGATCACACACGCTACCTTCACGGCTCTGCCTTCTTTGTTCAAATACTGCTGCTTCTCCTCTCTCACTGATATTCTCAAGCAAATGAATTCTGATTTTTTTAATGCTTTTGCAATTCCCTCGACTGTTTCTGCAGCTTTCTGCTTTTCCAAACACAAACATTTGATGACATTTCTACCAGTGAAGAATTTCTTTAAAAAAAATTTAAAAATCCCTGATGCTTTATCATCTCTTGTTCTCCTTTGGATAACAGTAATACCATCCTGCCTTTCATCTTTCACATCCTTCAACTTTTATGTTCCAGTAATATCACCTCTATCAGTCCTTGTTTCAAGTTACAAGTATTTGCAGCCTGCATCCCATAGAAATGTTCACTTGAAAATACCTCTTCACCTCAAAATGTTGTTGCTTAGGTATCAGCAACTGGTTTTGGGAAATAAGCTCTGGAGGAACGGCTCTCAGGGCACTGGATGTTTCTACTAATTGTGGCCTTTTTTTTTTTTTTTTTGGTACCATTTTCCTAACCAAATTGGTACTCTTTTCCTTCTGCTTTTTGGTTTTGATATTTACACTTAGGGCCTTATCCTGTGCAAGGCAAACTCTGCAGCTCTGGCTCTGCTCGTGGTCCAGCGCTGATCCCAGCAGGGCAAGTGGTAACAGAGACACCCGGTGGGCAGGTGCCCTCCCCTTTAGCCTGGACGTGCCGCTCGGTTGCAGCTCTCCCGAGGCCTTTCCCATCGGTGTTTGGCGGTGTCCAAGCCCACCTTTCCCGTGCGGGAAGGAATCCCGCTGTTCCCGCCGGACACGGCGCTCCCGAGGCCGGTGCGGGGCTCGGCCGGGCCCGCAGCGCCGCCCAGTGGCCTTGGAGCGCAGCGCGGGGGCCGGCGGGGCTGGGCTGGGAGGGGGGATATCGCCCCAAATTTGGGCTCCAAAACCACACCGAACAGTTTTTCCTCGTGGAACACGCGGACAGGTGGCAGTTAGGAAGTGTAAAAGCTGGCTCTTGGATCAGAGAAGGTGGAGGAGTGAACAAGCCTGCTGCTGTTCCATGTTCTGTTCCTGATCTGTTTGAGAGCAGTGTAAATCTCCAACTTACTTTTGAAATCTGTGGCTCAAGTAGAGAAGAATCCAATTTCGACTTAGTCCTGTAGTTGCCTTAAGTCTTGGAAATTCCAGTTTCCACTGCTGTCAGCAGAAAGAGCAAAACTTCTTCGTTGTGTGCAGAAGCATGAAAGATATTCGCAAACAGGCAAAGAAAACCTCAAAACTCAACCCTGAAAAACAGTACAAGATAGACCAAAAGCTGAATTCCTAAATGCTTATCTGAGGAGGATCAGGTCGTACAACTCCCTGTTTTTCAATTTGTTAATGCCAGAAGTGCTCTCAGAGGAGCTGTTGCAGTCACTGTTGTGGTGGATATGGTATCAGTTTAACAGCTGGTTTCTCAACCCCACCATTTGCTGTAAATACTAGTTCATGTTTGTCAGTTCTTTAAACAGGGAACATTTAAGTGAAGAGAAATAATGTATTTCTCTATACTGTTTCTTGCAGGATCGAGTGACATTCAGAAGAATTATACTGAAAAACAATGCAAAGAAGAGGAAGACATATGAATTATTTATTGAGTCTGTGCCCCTTCTCAAATCCTTGGAGGTAAAGCTTCTCAGAGACATCCACATCAAATTCTTGCATTAGCAGTAACTCCACACTCATTGTTTCTGCTATGTCAGAAATCTGTGTGACTTTTCCTTAGAACAAAATATTAAGAGCCGCTTTGGTATCACATTTATTACACAACTTAATTTTCATTGTTGAAGTTGTACATTGCTTTTTTTTTGTTTTCCCCAGACCCTGATTTTTATCTGTCTGATTTTTTAGAAAAATCTTTCCACAACCCCCCTTCTCCCCCTAAACAAAAAAAACCCATTTGCACAAAGGGCAGCTTGGAACTCAGGGCTGTGGTTTCCTTTGAGGGTGAGATGTTGAAGTAATGATACAGTCACTGGGATATTTGGCCTTATCAACCATGAATGATTTTAAATTTGTGACAAAGTTGTGGGATGTCGTAGGTCTTGCTTTAATCTTAACTGATATTCAGGAGGTAAATTAAGAACAGGCTAAAGGAGCTACCTGGGGACACAATGACAGGTGTCACAGAGTGTGTGGGGCACAGCTTCAGGAACAACGTGCCAATTGTCACTTCTGTTGACGCAACCTGTATCTTCGGAGGGCTCTTGGAACCGACCAACCTGCTTTGACATTAGTATGTGTCTGCCCTTGCCTTACACCATCATTTAGCTTTTCTTTGTGTTCTCATGATAAAAAATCTTCCTCATCATTTATCTGTAGTATTTGAGAAAAGCTCTTAGTCCCTTTGGGAGAAGATTACAAAATTGCCAAGTATCATTAGGTGTGAATAACAATCTCTAGTACAAATGATTTTGGACATATATTGTAGCTGTGGAAGGGGTAAATTACACAACACCTTCTTCCTCAGTGCCTGGCTTAAACTGGTTCCATCAATGTGACTGTTTTTTTCTTGAGAACAGAAATGACTCAAATATTTAAAGATACAGAAAAATAACTCATTAGCACTGGGATGGCTTTTTGCATGACACACTGCAGTTGAATCATGCACGGACCAGATTTTGATTTCTCAAACATAGGCAAGATTAAGGTGCATTTGGGGAATGAATGGATTGATTACAACTGAATCATCTGTTGAATTTTAACAGTAGAATTTTCTTCCTTTCTTGGTATGTTCTTTTATGCTGCTCTGAAGCAATAAAATTGTTTTGTGGGATTCTAGATGGGCTGTGGGAAACACTGGAGATAATTATGGCTGTTCTTTTTCCCCTTCCTGATTATGAAGACTCAAGCTGTTTTGTGGCATGTCAGATAGTGCCTCCTGCCCTTGCTGCTGGGCATCCTGACTGCAGTGCCTGCTGATGCTTCACAGCCCTTGTCCTTTACATATTCCCTTTCTCCCCACTCTAGGAATGAGTTTTGGGACAAACCCTGCCCCCTACATATTCAAGTATAAAGTGATTAAAATATTTTGAAATTATGTTGCTGATATTTCTCATTGAAGGTAGTAAGCTTTTGACATTTTTCTGAGTGCTTTCTTCAAATTTCAACTGAATATTTAAGGAAGTGATTTCCCCTCCCACCTGCCTTGTTGCTCTAAATGAGCCAAATCAATTATTTTTTAACTTTGCAGGTAAGAAAAGGACAGGGATGGAACATTAGAAAATTTTCTTTCCATGTTGATTATGGTATCTTGGGAACTGTGTTGAGTACTATGACAATGTCATTTTGGGGCTATACTTACAAATTGTGTGTTTGTGTGTCTAGTGAATGCCTCTCCATTTCAGGAGAGGTTGTAGAGATTCAGGAGAGTTCACAGAGATGAGCTATAATTGATGATTGTTTCCAATTTTCCTCTTTGTTCTAGGCATCAGAGCGAATGAAGATAGTGGATGTTATAGGAGAGAAAGTGTACCAAGATGGGGAACGTATCATATCTCAGGTACTTGAACTCTAAACTTCTCTTTATCATTCTCCTTTCTCTGCTTCCTTTTTTTCTGTGTGGAATTGACTTATAGAATCTTATTACTTGGACCAACTTGACCCTTATTCTTTAATACTTCCAATTTATTTATTTATTCACTTCTTGAATGTTTGGGGAATGGACAGTATGTGTTTTGCTGCAAATTTATTCTACTACTTTAGTTTCTGGCTCTTTCTTCTCTTACCTGTGTTTTCTAAATGGTCTTTGCAAGGTTTAAAGAGGAGTGTGCCTTCAGGAGCTGAAATTACATGTCTGCCTATGCAGTTTTCCATGAAAGCCCCCAGCTAGAATTTTCCTAGGCCTCTATGACCAGATCAAAAAAGGAATCACAAACATGTAGTAAAGGCATCTCTAATGCCTAGGTCTGACTGAACAACAGAAACAAACAATTCAACATGAGTATGGTTTGAATGAAAATAAATGAAGTCATTGGAACGTTTACCTAGTTGGACCCAACCCAGTTTACTATTCTAAGAACTGTCAGGGTTAACTAAAACCACTGTTTTTCCTGATGCTTTTAGAAAGAGTATTTCTGTGGTGTGGTCTGGCTCAGTTGACAGCCTGTGGTGGTTGGTGTATGTTTTGTCTGCTGCAACAAATCACGGCTGGAGTAGTGGAACATGAAGCTGGATGAATTCGAGCTAAAGCTGTGTGGGGTTTTTTTGGAACACTGTTACTGATGAAACAACGGGATTTTGTGTCAAGTTTAACTTGGGGTTGCTGTGTTGCAAAAGTGCTGTAGTTAAGTAGAATTTAATTTAAGAAAGTCCTTGGCTTACCTGGAATTGCAGGTTTTTGGTTACAACCATTGTTCTTGTTTAATAAACAGAATATGACTCCTTGATAATGTCTTGAATAATTAATCTTAATTACTTGCAATGTCAGATAACTGGATGCAGGAAACTTTAGTTTGCTGATAACTGAATACTGTCAAATTACTTATCTCCAAAAATACTCTCACTTTTGTAAGTTGAAACTCTTGTTGCTTAAGACTCTGAGAAGACTGAATTCTCAGCAAAATCAGAGCTTATAAATCAGTCTCAAAACTGGGAACTCACACCATCAGTGATCCAATTACACAGTTGGTTCTAATCTTTTGTAATAACTGAATTAAGGACAAGGATGTAATTATACTTAAAAGGAGGTTTAATAGTCTGGATAGGTCTGGTAGTACACTGCTAGAGATGATGGAATTCTAAGCTTGGAAAAGATGTGATAGCTCTTACACTGCAGCACTTGCATCCATTCCACAAACCCCTTTCCCACTTTTCTCTTGTGGATAATTTTACATTTTAATTACCCTTCTGGAATGTGGCCCTTCAGTTAAGGGCAGTAAGCTTTAAAGCACTTGAAAATTGTTAGTAGTGTTACGAGGATGTCTCCCACTCAGTTTATTTCCATTCTTTTAGAAAAACTATTATTTAAGTACTTACTCTTTCAGAAGTGTGCTGGGAGTATTAGCTCATGTTGTGATAGATGGCAATGGTGAATGAAAAGCTTTGCACTGGATGACTTATGACCACCCCTCAGCTAAAGGCCTAATTTATTCTGTAACTCCGTGTTTAAACCTTGCATCATGTTCTTCCAGCCCATGTTTCATACTCAGGTTGTAACTATCTCCCTCCATCCTTCCCATCTCATTCATCATCTGCTTGCCCACTTGACTTAATGTCAGATTTATCTCTCTTATTTCAGTTTTTTTTTTCTGAGCTGCTCCCATTCCCTTATCAGTTCTTTTTCCAGCCTCCATCTCCCTGAAGCCTTTAGTCCCTTTGCTTGTGATTTATAGCAGGAGGCATGTGCTTGATCTCTGCTCTGACCTCCAGCCCTATGCCAAACCCACAGGGGCTGATACAGAGAGGGAAAGTCCTCTCTGTTACAAGTGAAACTTTCAAATTAAGTGCTGCCGAAGCTCTCCAGAGCAGATGTAAAATGGGATCTGCTGAAGGTTTGCAGTGGAGTGGGGATTGAGAGATGTGAAGAAGGTTCTAGAAACTCACAGAATTCCAGAATGATTGAGGTTGGAAGGGAGCTCTGGAAGTCACTTTGTCTAAACCCCCCTGTTCAAGCAGGGCCATGGAGAGCCTGTTGTGCAGGACTGTGTTCAGATGGCTTTTGAAGATCCCAAAGAACAGAGAATTTACAACCTTTCTGGGTGTGCTTGGTCACTCTTGCAGTGACTTTTTCATAGAATCAGCTGGATTGGACTAAACCACAGTTCTTTAATTCAACACCTTGTGGTATCTTTCTAGAACCTGATATAAAATGACTATCAGTTTTTATTTTCTCCCACCTGCCCCATGTGACTGATTTTCCTTTAATGGCGTGATGCTGAGTGCTTTATTCCTTATCATTCTTACTACATTTGTGGAGCCATTGCATCATTCCTCATGTAGATGGCTTGCATTGTGGATTTGCCTTTCTGTAAACTATCCTCCTCTTCCTTTCTATGTTTGTGCTCCTCAAATGCAGCTATTCTTGGTTCTTCTGTCTCCTTCTATTTTACCATGAATTGACTGAGCTCATACTTAGTTTAATGGATCTTTTTTCCTGCTGACATCTAGAAACACAGTCACTAAATTGGTGTTTTATTAAAATTTGCCTCTGGAAATTCTAGACTGCTTAGTTTCACAACTGGCTACTTCTGTCAAGATCAGGTGGTTTGCACTTATGTGATTTTGCTTTATATCATCAATCTCCTTTGCGATTCCCTTTCCTCCTGCCCTCTCACTGGATGACATGCACTAATAGTTACTTCCCTGTGGATTCCTCTAGGTATTACCCAAACAGTCACCTTTTAATGTCAGGAATTTGACTGTTTGTCAATTCTAGCAGATTTCTGCACAAGGCCTAGTTCAAAGTGAATGAGTTAATACCATTTATACATACTTTCACAGTCAAGTGAAAAATAATTTATTTTACCTTTTCCTCTTCACAGGGCGATAAAGCAGATTGTTTTTACATTGTAGAATCTGGTGAAGTAAAAATCTTGATTAAAAGCAAGGTGAGTGCAAATTGAGTGATTAGGCTTTAGGTCAATCCCTTATTTGATTGATGAATACAAGAGATTTGAAAAAGCCTACCCTGACTTATTTTAATATATTATTTTGTGATGTTTATCATCATTACTCATGTGACGTAGGTTGTAAATTCCCATACCTGAAGTTAGTTTACTAAAGTAGAAAAGTCTTTTTCTTCTACCTGCTGCTCTGCAAACTAACCTGACACACTCTCCCTGGCCTTAAGGGTGGAGATAAAACTGTTCTTCTGTCATTACAGAAAACTGTAGCTTAGAAAAAGTGGGGTCTGTTATCTCTAGTGACATACTGGATGTTGGCATTTAAAGCAGCCTTGGGGAACAGCTTGTGGTAGATGATAAAGGCTGTGTTAGGTTAATTTAACAGTAAATACCTGCCAGTCTCAACACTTGTGAGCTGGTACATGCTCTTCTTACCGTGGCGTTGAGGTGTTCAACCAGCACACGCTTGGGAATCGCTGGGTTAAAGGCCCTAAACCAATGAACTGTTGCACGTGTGTAAGGTGTGTGGGGTGAACTGCAGCCTTGTACAAGGACAGAACTGTGCAAATAATGAAACTGCACTGTTTGACAGACTATGACGAGTAAAGAAGCTAACCAAGAAGTGGAGATTGCCCGGTGTCACAGAGGGCAGTATTTTGGAGAGCTTGCACTTGTTACCAACAAACCCAGAGCAGCCTCTGCCTATGCTGTTGGGGAGGTCAAATGTTTAGGTAAGCAGATGTTCTGTGTTTCTAATTACCCTTTTCTGGTCTTTGCTTGTCTCATGGACCATGCCTGAGTGAGCAGCTATTCAAAACCCAGCAACCTTTTGCTGACTGGCAGTCAGACACCAGAAGCCAGGGCAGGGGCTGGAGCAGGGCTGCACGTGGAAGTCAGAGAAGCACCTCTGCTTCCTTATGGCAGATTCTCTATTTTCTGTGTGTTGCATGTACTCTCTGAAGGGCATTGGCTTCTTGTGTACAGCTTGTTTGTCACACACACCCTTCAGGTGATCTTCTAATGCCAGTGTGGGATGTATTTTGCTTCTGTATTTGTCCTTGAGGTCAGGTTTGTATTTCATTAATCTTGTTTCTACAAATAACAGTACAGAGGGAAATCAGAGACATGATTTCTGTTCCTGACCTGAGTGGGTTGGACTGGAGGTCTGTTCTGAGTTCAGAAACCAGATTAGTGTGTGGTGTCCTTTTTGACAAACGATCTTGTTTTCACCTCTGTTCCTTTGCAGTCATGGATGTGCAAGCATTTGAGCGGTTGCTTGGACCCTGCATGGACATTATGAAGAGGAATATAACACATTACGAGGAGCAACTGGTGGCAATGTTTGGCTCTAGCATGGACCTATTGGATCCAGGGAATTAGGCACAGGGTACCTCAATGCCTTCTTAGTTCAAGACACAGAAAAGCCTCCTATCAGCAACACAACTCACAAGGACAACGGACACTATGGAACAGTTACTGCTGCTGTTTTCTTGGGCATTTTAGAAACCATAAACAAGTCTCAGCACAGATGGATTGCTCACTCCCTGCCTCCACTTTGCTGCTGATACTTCATTATTAGACCTAGATTAAAGATGATTCTAACCCTATGTTCACTTACTTGGTTCAGAATGGCATCTGTCCAACAGTTCAAGTGCCTGATACGAAACCCAAAGTGTGCAAGATATAGAAGCCTCCTTCCTTCTGGGTGTTACTGTTGGGATAAATTTTCCAATCAGATTCTGTAGTGGGAGGTTGCCTGTTCTGCAGAGGCAGCCTGTGGAATACAAGCCGTTTATGGGCTTATTACCTTCATATGATGCTTTCCTTACACAATGTCAAATTCGCTTTTAATTGTAGCATCTGGTTTTGAAGTTAAAGTATCAATGGAGCCAATGAATAAGATGGCACTGAAATTTCTGTCCACCTGCTGAAAGTGGCAGGTACTGAATAGCTCTTTAAACCAAGTAAACCGACCTGGGGACATGGGAGAGTCTGCTTAGCATCTGAATGCAGAAAATGAAGCATTACTATATTTTAAGTGTTTTCTGAGCAGCAAAGACAATTGTTTTACTCTATGCTGCCCAAAAAAGTGCAGTGGTTCAGATCAAATGGCCTGAAAGTGTCATAATTGTCATCTCCCCAAACTTGCTCCTTGTTCCCGACACTGAGTACATTTTATGGTGGTGAGATCACAACGTATGACCTTCTCTTGCTTACAGAAATCCTTTATATTGCTAGATTTCCCAGGGCACAGTTGTTGACTGGGTCAGTTTTAAAGCTTTCTAAGGAGGTGAATGTTTTGTAATTTAAATGAAGACTACTTCTGTACTTGTTTACAGGAGCTTCCCCCAGTCCTAACATTTCACAGTATTCTAACTTCATTAGACACTTGGATGCTTCCAAATACCATGTTTATTTGCTAAACTTTTCAAAAGTTGGCAACATTTGACTTTGTGAAGCAAATGTCTTTGCTAACTACGCAGTTGGTGTGTTTGAGGAGTCTTTTTGGTCTAGGTGATAACTAAGCTAATGATGTTTATCTAAAATACTTGTTAAATTTGCAGCATTTATTAGGTAGATTCTGTTTCTATGGCTTTAATGACCTTAATTGGCATATGGCTGAGATTTTATCAGAGTATTATCTAAATAAGAATCAGACCATAAGAAGGACATTTTTATGGTGTACAAACAGAATATTTATATTAAGACATTGATTTTGGAGGTAATAAATCTAGTGACCCTTTGAATTTGCATTCTTCCGCAGCTCATGCAAAACATACTGGTGTTTTATAGGGTTATAAAATTTTAATTGTGAATGCTAATGTAACAGAACCTGCTCTTTTTATTCATGGCCATGTGAGCAAGAATGGAAGGATGCTAATCTTGAATTCCTGCTTTTAGTTATCACAGTGGACGTTTCTCTGAGGCACGAGATGCTTAGCAGCAACTCTTAAGTTGATTTCTGGACACTTCCCTCCCCCCACCCCCCCACAATGGATTTTCCTCCCATTTCCTGCAACATGAGCAAGGTGGAAAGTTGATCAATTTGAATGGCTGTTGTCCACTTACTGTAATTTCAGTCATATTTTTATATAATGCAAATGATTTGTAATGGACACCACTGATCTCGGTGTTTCCATATTATTAAAGTCCTGGTTGTGATGTCTAGTGGCTGTTCTAACTGCATGTATTTTAGAACAGTGAACTTCCGTTGCTTTCCTGGGCTGTTTCTTTGTCATAAATTACAGCCAAAGAAACAGCAAGTACTTCTCATTCATGCTTCCAAGGTTTAACACCAAAGACAAAAATAATTCTTTTGATTACAGAATTAAAAAGCAAACAACCCCCTAATAAACTCAAAACAAGCCAACAAAAAACCCACAAAAAACCAAGAAGAGATGAACAAACCCACTCATCACGTTCTTGCAGTGATAACAGATTTAACTTTAAGATGCTTTGGGCTCCATGACAAGCGTCTTTCTGAAGCCAGCTCATGACTGTCCTGTGAACCAGACATAAACTGGTCTCTGAACCAGTGTGAGTTTCTGTGGTGCCTAAACTGTTGTGTGAACTAAACAGAAAATTGCTGTGGATAATCACCAGCTGGCCTTTGTTGCTCCCAGGCAGAATATCCTCTCCTTTATCCAAAGGAGCCTGGCAGGTTGGGCTGCCTTACAGGTGGATTCTGGTTCTTACAGCCTTTGGTTCTCTTGCAGGACAGGACTGTAACCTCAGCACAGGCAAACATGGGCAGTTGTTCTGAAGTTTAATCAAAAACCAGGCAAGGCTGATGTTAGATTCTTGAGATGTTTCTGTCTGGAAGGGAGGATTTGATGGCTTCTGGAAGTCAAAGGAAAAGATGAGAATATAAAATCAAAAATTGGGATCCTATGTAAGCAAGAACAAGCGTTTGAAGTTTTGCCTTTCTCTAGGCTCCCTGGAGCAAAGGCACAGTGGGCAATGCCATCCTGCACCCAGGGTCTGTGCAGCAGAATTCCATGGTGTAGAGAGGCAGCTGACCTTGAGCTGAAAGAGAATGTGCTACTAAGAAAGCTCATCCGTTTAAGAGCTATAATGTGCAATATGCCTGATTGGTGTGGTTTAACCAACCTGTTCTGTACAGTTTTGGAGCATGAAGACAGTGAGAGAAGCTTTAGTAAGATACTCAGTATTGGCAGGAATCTGGTTAGAGCACCAGCAGTGAGCAAAGCTGGAAGGTGTGAGTGGTGATACCGAGTCCAGGGAGTGAGTGGAGCACCTGTTTGTGACCATCTGCCCCATCCCTGTATCTCAGCTCATTCCTTTCCACTTTGACTGTTCATTGCAGTTGTTGTAGAGAACAAGCCCAGGTGTTGTGTTACCACTCAGTGTTCAGTAAATCTGCCATGGAGTCTCTGAGATTGGCACTAGAGAGAGATCTAGTTTTTAATAAAAGAACTCAGCAGCAAAGTGGGCACAGAGGATCATGTCTTCGAGGCCTAGAGAAAGACAAGTCTTCTGTTTGTGATTCCCTGCTTGTGATTGTGGTGAAGTCAGTGAGAGGAGCTTTCAGTGGTCAGATATCCTGGCATGTGGTATTTCTGTCTAATGTCACAGCACAGGTAAAAGAACAAAAAAGGGCAGAAGTGCTCTATTTTTAGAAACAGAAGTGCAAAACTTAAAACTTTAAAACAAAACTTTAAAAACAAAGTGCAATTTTGCACAGAGGGCAAGAAAACCCAAAATCCCTTTGAATGTCACTTCCATTCTTTCTTTTTTGTTGGCTGAAAGCAGACTCTTGTTCTCGATACGTATTTGTAAACTAGTCTTGCCAAAATACAAACACATTGGGTTTTTTCACTCCAGATGATTTTCATTGTTACGGTTATTGCTGATCATTTTAGCTTTTTTTCAAACCGTATATTTTATTTCAAGAGGCCTTCCCTGTGGATTTCCTCCTGGAGCTCTGCAGCACTCCACTGCTATTTTGAGAGGCAAGAGAAAGTCACTAACCTCACAGGAGACACTCAGCTTAGCTGGCTGGAGCTAATAATGTGCAACTAATTTTCCTCTGTGGGGCAGGAGGGGAATTGAATTCTGCATAAAGTTGCTACCTCAAGGCTCCAAGTGCTTTTAAAGGTCTTTCACTTGGGAGAATTTATTAAGACAGTTCTTAAAATTAGTCTGTTCTTTTGAGTTAAATGTTTTTTTAATTAATTCATTGAGGGACCCGTATTTTAATTCATTTTACTTTTAGTACTTGATTCTCAAAGGATGAACAGCTGCGAAGTTTGGTTCTTGCACTGTAGTGTTGAACATGAAAGAAAAATATCTGCCATATAAAAACATATGGTTTTAACAAGTTAAACCACTCTGGGGTTCAGCTTCACTTTTGGTTAATAAAAAACTGACCTGTTGTGTCCAGTCTTCCTGTACAGTCCTGTGTGTGCTCGTTATTGACTCACTGCAGCTGACACAGCCCCAGCCTTACAGCAGCTCCCTGGATGCACTCGGCGTGCCTGAGGTTCTGTAGCTCCTGTTGCCAGAGCCTCATGGAGAGCAGCACTCACCCTCCTGCAATAACTAAGAGATTTATACAGCACCTGACCTGCAAGTTTTGCTGTTTGGCGATAAAATTTTACTAACATCTTAAAAATAATACCACCTTCTGTGGGTATTGTTGGCTGCTCTGATTAAGTCTGCCAAATTATCATAGAACTGATTTATTGAGCCTTGCAGTAACTGGTTCTTGGTTCCCCCAAGAAACATTATATTCCTGAAGGTTTCTTTTCGGCCTGCACTTGCATCTACTGAATTTTATAGCTGCCTTTTATTTAACCTAGCTAACAACCTGAAAACTAGTTCGGTACGTGTGAAATAATACTTGCTTTTGCTGAAATATTTTTTTTCTGAATGTTTGGTGTTTTATGTACAGTTTTTAAGTCAGTCTGAGAGTGGAGTTCAGGTGGATTGTTGTGCTAAACCTGAGAAAGCTCTGGTGGAATAACACGGGGACCTTTGCACAGACTGAGCAGTGTGATGGCCAAGGCCACTGGTGTTCTTTATGTCTGATGACTCAAACCCATCAGATCAGGCTATTGCAGTGTTACCCTGCTGGGGTCCATACCAATTCCTGGGTAAGCCTTTTTGTAAAAGAAGGAAGGTTCTGTGAAGTTCTGTTGCAGGGGCTAATGTTTCATCATTTCAGCAGAGCAGAGATTCTGCCATCCTTTCTGCTGTTTCTCTCCCAAGGACATATTTCACACCGATTTTTAGATCAGGTACAAGGTACTAAAATTGTGTTATTTTATCTTCTCAAGTAGGTGTTGAGCTGCCAGCCTCGTGCTGTGCACTCCTCAAATCTGTTTCAGGTGCGTGTACTGCAAAACAGAGGCTGGGATAACGCAGTGCCTTCAGTGTTTGTGACCTGTCAGGGTGTCAGGCATCGCCTTCACCAGGACCGCGCTGCCTCGGGAACTGCGTCGCGACCACCACGCTTGTTTGAAGGGGAAGCGAAGGAGCATCTCTGCGTGCCGCCCTCCCAACGGCGCGGCGCAGCGCTCGATATTTGCCTTTCCGAAGCTAAAACGTCGCGTGTAGCACTTGGAAACACCGTCTGTTCCCGCAGCTTCCCCGAGATCCGTGTCCGGCCCAGACGCCGCCCGTGTGCCGGGCTGCGCTCGGCCGTCCCCTCAGGGCGCGCCCGGGGCTCGGCGTGGCCGCGCGCGGTTGCCATGGCGACGCTGAGCGCGCGCGGCCGCCGCGCGGAAGGGGCGGGCGCGCCGCCATTGGCCGGGCGGGGGCGCGCGCCGAGGGGCGGGGCCGGGCCGGGTCGGGCCATGGCGGCGCGCGCGGAGCCGCCGCCGGCCGAGTTCGAGCGGCGCGTGCTGCGGAGCGCGGCCCCGCACCACTATCTGCGCGTGCGCCTGTGAGTGCCCCCCACACACCCCCGAGAGCCCCGGACCGCCCTCAGACCCCCCCCCCCAGACCCCGCTCTGCTCTGTTTCCCGCAGGGAGCTGCCCGACGGCGGGGCCCGGCCCAACGCCGCGCAGTTCAAGCAGCTCGTGGTGTCGGCGCTGAGGGAGCTGCACGGAGAGGTGGGATCGGGATCGGACGGGGATCGGGGTCCCTCCCTTGGCCGGCTGCTCCGCGCCGGGAGGGCCTCGGTGGAGCGGCTGGTTGCCTGCCCTGTGTCCCCGGCACAGCTGGGCAGTGTCCGAGCAGGGGGGGCGGGCCGAGGGGCAGGATGAGTGTCCTCGGTTTCCTCTCTCGTAACCGGGTACCTGCTCCCCAGCCACGCTGTAATTGCTCCCAGCGATGCCGGGCTGCACATCTCAGTTCAGTGCCCGTGGTCAAGTGGCTCCCAGTGCCCATGGTCAAGTGGCTCCAGCCATCCCTGGAAGTGCTCAAGGCCAGGCTGGATGGGGGCTTTGGTCTAGTGGAAGGTGTCCCTGGCAGGGGATCGGAACGAGACGATCTTTAAGGCCCCTTACAACTCAAACTGTTCTTTGATATCCGGTTTTTAGAATTTGGAATATTGATGCTTTTGCTATAGGGAGGCTTTAGAATGAGAGCTTTGAAAAGGGAAAAGCTTTGTGAATGGGAAATCCACAGTACTGTCCTTGCTCTGTTTACAGTATTGCTGGGTGGCTTTAAGCAGGTCACATCACCTGTGGGTCCATGTTTCTCCAGCTGTAGTGTGGAAATAAGTGGCTTCTATCTAAAGAACTCTGAGAGGAAAGGTGGTGTTTATTTGTAACTGGAACACTTCTTTGAGATATGAATGAAATTATAACATGATGTAACATGCTGGGTGTGAAATCACTTGCTTTATAAACCACTATAAGAATGGAATGGTACTTATTAAATGACATTTTTTTGATAGGTTGGAGCAGCTTTGCCTGTTGATGTCTTAACATATGAGGAAAAAACTCTGTCTGCCATATTAAGAGTTATTAGCAGGTAAGGTGCAGTCAGTACACGCTTCTGATACTGCCATGAAAGTATTTTTTGTAAGAAAACCAGAACTATTGAGCTAAGAAAGGTCTTTGAAGAATTAAGCCTAACTTGCAGATATTTGCATACAGCATGAAGAAAATAATTACTGAGATATAACTTCATGTATCAGTATGCTTTAAACGATGATGGTTTAAATGGATTTAAGACAGGAACTAAGGACCATCGAAATATGTGGCTTTAAATCGCTTTGTATAGTAAAGATCAAAATGATTACTGTACATAGTGAAGACAACTGCAGGTGATTTAAGAGAAGAAGGAGCTTAAATGCACAGAGAGAACAAGAACAGGTAAAGTGAACTTGAAGAGGTTACAGTACCTATCTCTTTGTCAAAGACAAGAGGCTGCAGCTACTGCAATAACCCTTCAGGAACAGTGTCACTGCCAGAACTCATTGGTGAATTTACCTGCTGTTAAACTCAGTTAAGATGTCATTACTCTTAGTGGAACATTATTTTTATTTAAGATGTTTATGTTGCAGGAAAAGTGATAAAATTTTATTAATATATTTTATTTTCTTTTTACTTAGTGGCCTTGTGAAGCTGTGGAGTGCTCTAACTTTGCTGGGCTTCTACGAGAACAGGAGGTGTGCCTTCCGAGTGCTGCAGGTAAAGCCTTGCAGGGCTTGGTGGCCTCCCCCAGATGTCTGGCTCTAAACTTGGCTGTCTATCTGAGCATGCTGCCTCTTCACAGAGAGGTGGCCTAGATGCAGAAATGCCTTGGTTTGGGAGTGAAATGCTTTTCAGTGCAGGTGTGGTGTGTGGGTCTGTGTTTGAGCAGTTTGCACCTTATAATGAATCTTGGAAGATGTGACGGTAGTGGCTGTCTCATTATTTTATAGTTTCAGCCCAGTGACAAGTCCTGATGTCATTAATACACCTGCAAGAAAATAATTTCTGGCAGGTTTTGTTCATGGACCATATCTTGATCCTGTCTTTTATTTCCTCTGCCCCATTTGTTCCCTTTCTGATAGTCACTGTTGACAGACCTGACGAACATGCACTTCCAGAGCTTATTTTTTTCAGGAGGATGCTGCTTAATACAATGGGTTCTGAGAGTTCTTTGTCTCTGAAGCCGTGACTGGACAAAAACCTGCTAGGGCATAGCTCTAAGTTTCTAATCTTTCATGTAAAAGGAAAATTTAGGTATTTTCACATTTGAGTGCATTTGTTGGTGATTTTTTTCAAGGCTTTAGTTTGTTGTTGTTTGTTTTTGCTTTCCCCAAAACAGACATCTCCGTTTCTTCTCGCATTATCTGGCAACAGTAGAGAACTAGTCCTGGACTGAACGTGGTTGTTGGGTTGGTTGTATGGAGCAGAAGTTTCTGGAGATGTTGCAGCCCTTCAGGCGTGGAATTTCTGGAAGAATGTTCCGACAAAGAGCCTTGACAAAGCTAACGTTTATCAACTCACTGCTTGGACATCCAGCACTTCAAAGTTTACACATAAAAGTTGGAGACAAAGCTGAACTTACCAAAGCTTTTACACAGAATGATGTTGTTACTTTTTCCTATTTAACAGGTGACACAAATCCTTTGCATTTAAATGAAGAGTTTGCAAAGAAGTCTCGGTTCGGGAGAACTGTTGTACATGGAGTTCTGATCAATGGACTTATTTCTGCAGTTCTAGGTACTAAAATGCCTGGTCAAGGGTGTATATTTCTCTCCCAGGAGATCCGGTTTCCAGCTCCTTTGTATGTTGGTGAAGAAGTCACAGCTGCAGCAGAAGTGAAACGGCTGAAGGGTTCTGTTGCACACATTTCAGTATCATGTCAGGTCAGAGAAAGTGGGAAGACTGTTATGGAAGGGATGGTGAAAGTCATGGTGCCGGACAGTTAGAGCTGTTCATCCTGTGCTACTTTACTGTAAAGGCCAGAAATGCTTGGTTTTGACTTTGTCTTTTTATGTGACATCACTGAATCCAGTAAATTTGCAACAAAAAATGCTTGAAAGACAGTGCACAAACTTAATCTTGATAGAGCTGCATTAAACTTAAAACTATTTCATTTTCCTCTATGTATTGTCAAGGTGAAACCAGCAGAAATAGGCACTTACTGTGACAAAGAGGCAAAGTGGCTTAGCCTTTGCTCTGCCACAGTGGGAATTCTGGAGTGGCTAAGGCTGTTCTTTCTGGCAAAATCACACTCACACACCAGCAAAGTTCAGTTAAAACTTGTTCCTTTTGTACAAAGCAGCTGTACTGCCAACAAGCTCCAGGGGAGGGGACAATGCTGTGTTTAACAAGCGGGACAAAAGTGGAGGTACTGACACACGTGCACTGCAGGATGTGTTGTAATCTGCATGGCAGCTCCTGTGGGTGTTTCCTCTGAAACTTGCTTCCCAGAAGCAGAGTGAAGGAGGCTTTAAAAAAAAATACATTGTCACGACTTGTACTTACTGTACTTGTGCTCCTGAGGGCAAAACAAGCAGGGACATATGAGTTGAGTACTAACTGTATGGCTTCTCTCTGCTTGCTTGACTGTGTGAACATGCATTCCTCTTTTGGTAAATTCATAACCAGCATGAGATCATTGTACACTAAGAGACTTCTTTCAGGAGTGATCAATGCCATCAGGAATAAGGCCTTCGGTTGGTGGCTCATAATTTTCTGGCAAAGCATCTGTTATGCCCTCTATCTTCTTTGCAGCAGAAATGCATTTGAAACTTTCATTGACTGCAAATAATCTCAGAAGTTGTTTGCTATGAAAAGAGAGTTTGTCCTCATCCTGTGGTGAAAACTACAGAACAGTTGCACTCTGCCTGAGTGTGCTGCACTCTAACCCCAGGTGTTAGTCACACTGGAGCAGAGGGAGGGGTAATGTTTAAGGTTTTTGACTCCATGGCCTCTTTATCCAAAGCCTGATATTTGGCCTGTTCACAACTTGGAAGAAGTAGCTCGGGAGAGCTTTCCTGATCTCTTGTTTGTAGGAGCTTCCCATTTCCTTTCCTTCTGCCTCGGTTCACTGCCTGTCACTGGCTTGTGCTGTATAAAACACTTTCCCAAAGCAGGCATTCTCCTTTCTCTGTTTCTTATTCACCTTCCTCTCCAGGTGCAAAGTTGTCATGTTAATATCTGTTAAAAAGTGAATCAAACCTGTGCCTGACCTCCAGGGTTATGCACAAGGAGTGGTCTGGGGAGTCAGGATTGCTGTTCCAGCCTGAGATTCAGTTAATGAACCCACCACAGAGCTCATTTTCCTCTCAACGTGGAGCTGCAAGACAGGAGTACAAAAACCAAGCTGCGTCTGATGTAAAAAGACAAAAGAAAATGCAGACAAGTGTCCAGCTTGTAGGTTCCTGAGTACTAAGTAGTACTGAAATAGAAAGTTTTTTACGCTTCTACAATGAAAGCCAGGTTGTGAAACTCAACAACTTTAAATGCCTTCTGAAAAAAAAACCAAACCAAACCCCAAACACTAAAATCTAGAAATTGAGTAGGAGTTACTGGATGCTATTTGATTATTTTATTATTTTTAACCACAAAAAACACCCCAAAAGAACAGCAAGCGCACCAGCCCTTTTCAGTCGCCCTCTCTGGGAGGACCAGTAGTGTCTCGGGGTTGTTGCCTTCCATGCTGCAACAGCTCCCGTCGGTACCACTGGAGCACCGGGTGCAGATGACTTGGGCGGAGGGGGAGGCCACATGCGCTCTGGCCTCCCCTTCCCCTCCGGCTCCCGGGGACGAATCTCCCCGTGTCCCCCCCATCCCGCCGTGTCCCCCCCATCCCGCCGTGTCCCCTATCCCGCCGCCTCCCGGGGCGGGACCGGGTCTCGAACCCGCGGCACCCCGGGAGGGGCGGGCGCGGCGCCGCCTGGCGGTGGGCGGCGGCAGCGGCGGGCGGCGGTGCTAAGGCCCCGCGGCGGCGGCGGCGCTGCCGTGTTGACAGCGGCGGCCGCGCCGGGAGCTGCCCCGGGAAGCGGGGTTGGTGGCGCCGGTTCTCCCGCTCCCCGCTCCGCTATGGCCTTCATGGAGAAGCCGCCGGCCGGCAAGGTGCTGCTGGACGACACGGTGCCGCTGACAGCGCAGATCGAGGCGAGCCAGAGCCTGCACTCGCACACGGTGAGCAGGGCAGGCCGGGCCGCGGGGGGCGGCGGGAGCGGCGGGCGCGGGGAGAGGAGCGGGGGAGCCGGTAACGGGGGCGCTGGGGGTGAGGGGCCTGGCGGGGGCAGCGGGGCCGGCCGGGGGCCTGCGCTGAGCCCGCAGCAGCGGGGCCGGGGGTGGCGGGGGCGGGGGCACCGGGGCAGTGCGGGGCGGGCGGGGGAGCGGTGCGGGAGGAGGCGGCGGGGCCGCCACCCCCGGGGGCGGGTTGGAGCGCCCGGGAACCCCTCGGTGGGATGCGGCGGTGCCGCCGCTGCCGCCGCCTGGAGCCGGGGGTCGCTGGGCTCGTTCGCCCCCGCCGTGTACGCGGGGTTCCCGTGAGCAGCCGGGCACAGCCCCGGGAGGCACCGCCGGGGCTCTGCGGGCGCGGCCGGTGCGGGGCTCGGGCTGTCTCGTGTCCGCCCCGAGCGAGGCCCTGTAAGTGGCTGTAATTCCTGCTTTTCTCAGGGTGTTGCAGCCCTTGGAGCGGAGATGGGCTCTGGTTGCCTCATTTCAGTGGCTGCGATGAAGTTACACATGAACGGGCTGCATTTGCCTGCGGGTCCTGCCGTGCGACTGAGGCTGTGAAGCTGCAGAGACCCCGCAGCCCCAGCCCCGCTTCTTTGTTGTGGGGAGCGGTGACAGTCAGCAGAACAAGCCCTGCTGTCACTTGGGTGTCACAGGTTAATTATGGGATGCCAGGGACATATGCACGCTGCCTCCTTAAGAACTGCGCTGTCTTTGAGCATGCAGTAATAGTCCCAATTTCATAATGTCCTGTTTGCAGTTATTTTCCACTTTAAAAACCAGGTTTCCTTATAGTATGACCAAGCAGTACTGTGAATCAGAGAGAGGGAACTGGCTGTCATTTGTGGTTCCTGCTTTGGCTGAGAGCAGGGATGCTGGGCTGGAAAGGAGGCCAGAGGTACCTCAGCAGCAGGTACACTAGTGGGAGGCATGCTTTAAGTGGCTTTCTTCTGTCCCTAACACAGCTCAGATCCCTGCATTGTGGATCTCTTCCTGGTTCCTTGCATCTGGTGCATACCCTTAACCTGAATGATGATAATTATAGGTTGACCACAGGATATACAAGTGATCTGTAGACTGCCTTATTAAATACTCTTCCTATAAATAACCTGCACTTAAGAAGTGGGATTTTTTGTATGTGAGGAACTCTCATTTACTAATGTTCCAGTCTTCTCTGAACAGAAATTACCTATGAGAAATGATCTAGAAGGTCTTGTGAATCTAGCAGGCTGTGGCTCTCAGTTGTTGCAACTTCTCTTCTTATATTTCTTGGCAATTGTGATGCTTTTTACCTGTTCCAATAGCTAAGGGGTGCATGTGCCAAGTCCTGTGAGAAGTTGTGTAACTCCTAATACCCCCCAGTTGGCAGAGCAGATTAAGTTTCATTGGTAACTTGTTTCCAACAAGTCTTATTATACTTTTTCACTACTACAAATGACAATAGATTTTTGTGTTCTTTCTTTTTGCTTGCATGATTTTGGTTAAAAAAGAAAAAGTCACTAAATTCTTTCAGAATACATACTATTTCAATGCAGACTCTGTGTGTGTTTTGTCTGAGGGAGTGTGATAGCAAGTGTTGCTCCCCCCACCTTTCACCTCCGTATTCTGTTACTAATGGATGTTCAGGAAAAATTCTCTATTGAATTGTTCTGATCTTTTGTTAATACCAGAGTGCTGGAGCACTGTGCTTTTTGATTTAAAATCTGTCTCTAAGATACATCTATTAGTAATTGTTTGTTTTACTGCAGAAGCCCTGTTGATAGTTGAAAGATGGCTTGAAGTGTGCGTAGCACAGATGGTTTATATAGAGCCAGCGTGGGATAACAAAATACAGGAAGCCATTAACAGACACTTGGTTTCTTATTTGATATAAATTGACTATTTTGTCATTTTGGACACTTCATCTTATGCCCCTAGTATCTGAATAGTTTATTGGTGGGTGATGCTGTCCCTGAGTTGAACTTTCCTAGTTTATAATAAGCCACACAAATAAACCCTTGTATCTGAAGAGGTGTGTAAATGAAACCCCTCTAAGAAATAAGGGCTGAAGTGCCTTTGTGGGGTCTTAAGACTGCATTTTACTTTGTTAAATTATAGTTAGCAGAAAGTAGGTTGTCATTAACTGAATGCTTTTTAGGTTTGTTCCTCATCCTACCTCAAAGCAGTATCTTCAAAAGATGTACAGTCCTTCATCCCAAACTACTGTTTGGAGAGCTAGGTTTGCAAATGGTAGACTTGTTCTAAAGCTGAAATACAAAGGCAGCCATAAGTAAATTTTCTGTTCTGTTGTCAGCAGTTTGTATTAAGATTTTATAATGCTGTTTAGTGTTGCAAGAGTTGTTTTAAACTTGCATTTTTATTTTTTCCCTGTAGATCATAGCTTATAAAAGCACTCATATGAAGACAGCTTAGGCCGAGGTTAGGTGTAACTTGAACACAGCAATTGAACTAGTAATTATGTAAACCTTCTGTGGATGCTGAAAATAGACAGTCTTCTGAAAAACCAGCTAAGGAAGAGGTAAAGAATTTCAGGAAAAGCTCTGTAGACATGGTGAAATATCGCACAGAAGACCAAAGCTTGTGTCAAGTGAATAGTCTGCTTGCCTATTGTTCTAAGTAGTTTTTGTTAATTTAAATTTACTACAACAAACTGGGTGAGTGTAAACTTCACAGCATTGAGTCAGGAGCTGTAATTGGCACAGACTCAGTTTCTGTTTCCTGGGGCTGAAGGTGAAACTGAAAAAAACAAAACTGAAAACAAAACCTGAAACTACTACACACGTACCTGAATTCTCCAGAAACCTAAGAAGGGACAATGCTAGTATAGAAAATGTACTTTTGAGGGTTTGCACTTTTTGCTTAGTAAGAGTAGGTCAACCCCCTTTACTAGGGAAATTATTTTAGGGAATCAGCTGCAAAATCCTCTGATATGCTCACAAGCTCGGTGTGTTTTGTTCAAGACAGAAGAGCTCAGAGTCAGTACATTTGAGCTGGGACATAATCTCCATGTTTTTGTGTTGCAACAAAGAAATTGTCCACTGAGGTTTTGTTTCTGCATATTTATATCCAGTGATAATTGAAGACGAAAATTATGCTTTTTTATGTTTGCAAAAGTCGTTTCCTCGGTTAGGTGTGTTACAAGCAGTCCAAGTTTTGTTGGAATGGGCACTTACATACAATTAATTCTGTAGTGTGGTGTTTTTATAGACCTTTTCATTTTAAAGCAAAAAACCCAAACACATTGTAGGTGCATTCCAGTGGCACCCACTTAACATGAGCAAACCCTGTCAGCTTCATTTTGTCTCCTGCTTTATGCTTCAGTCACTAGCACTGCATCAAAGAGAGAGAAACTGTAGCTTCCAGGATTGTGTTGGGCACCTTTCCATAGCCATGGCTCAGTCCCTTGGTAGATGTGTGTACCAGTTTTGCAGAAAATGAAGTTGTTTTGTAGCCACTGCATTCCTTGACTTCAATAGGAGTGGAATTACATCCAATATATTAAGCCATTTGCAAGTGTCTCATCTTGACGCCAAATGTTGTGTTCTGACAACAGAGGCAATTTCAGCACTAAAACTTTAATAAATGTTGGCTGTTGAACTCGCTTCATATTGCAGCATTTCATCTGTGTGTTCACTATTTAGAAGTGGCTTTCTTTCTAAGCCTTGAAATAGGATGCTATTTTCTTCCACAATAATCTAGACATATTCCTTAGTAAGAACTGCCTATTGTACATATAACTCTTAGAGCACTTTTCGGCAGAACTACCATTGAGTTGTACATATACTTACAAACATTCCTTAATTCCTTTCTGAAGGGATTTTGCTTTTTCATGTGTTTCATGTTTTGAAATGGAAGTAGTGAAACAGCCAGCTTTGCTGCAGTACACTGTTGTCTTAAAGGCATTTGGAAATGAACAGCTGAAATAAATCCCTCTCATACTACTTTCAGAGTTTTTAGTTTTCCTTGAGCAATGATGAATGTTGACACTCACAGCTTTTAGATTAGAAAAACATTGAAAAAGCATTTATATTTCTCCTTTATCGTTCCCAATACAAAAATGGAGCCATATGTTTCTAGAAGTGTAGGATTTGGTTTAAAAGCTTGTAAAGGACTTTGCACATCTGCTTTATAAGGAAGTCAATCTCTGCAAGGTTGCCTTCACTTTGAACAAAAACAAACATGAAGTTACTTTTAGACGTGGCTTTAGAGAGGGAGCTATTAGAGTTCACTTGTTTGAGGTTACAGAAGTGCAGTTCCGCCACTGGACTTGGTAAGTATCCTTGGCCACCTCCCACCTCCCCTCCAGCCTGAGCTCACAAAAGGTAGCTCTTTCATCACACCTAATTTTAGATATTCCAACCTTTTGGTTTCCTCTGGTGAACTCAGGAAATAAGTATTGCATTTGTAGCTCCTGCAAAGATTGCAGTCAAAATATTAGTTACCATATCATACTTTAATAAACCTTAATTAGAATATTTTTGTTGGCTACTGAGTATTTCCTGAAAAATACTGAGTATTTTGCCTTTCTGGTGAAGGCCATGGTGATGCAGGGCACTGAAAATCCATGGTTTCTCATGTTTCATTTGTCTCCTTGTTAAGTTTCATTACATCTAAACGTGTCCTATTTTTTCCCTGCAGTTGTCCTACTTCACAACTTTCACTTACTGAATGGCTGACTCATTACTAGAGCAGTGATACAGTGTGTGAATGGTGCAGACAGGACACATGCACACCTGCACTGTTTAAAGTGTAGTGAAACACCGACCTGCTGCTGCTTCTACCTCAGATGGGCTTAATGGCAGGTTGTGCAATAGCAAATAAATACCGTGCCCTGCAACAGAGAGGTCTCTGAGCCTGAGCAGCTTTCCTGGTCTTGTTGCTACTTTTCACATGGGAGATTTTCTAAATAAACATTTAAAAGAGCTTCTTACTAGAAATTGTTCCAATCCAGCCTACTTAAGCAGGGATTGTCTTCATGCTTAATTAGGCTTTCCTCTCTTTAATGCTTATAAAATAAAGCTCTTTCAAACTTTTAGTTGATGTGACCCGAAGGTGACCTGGATCTTTATAATGGTTGGCTTTTCAAGCCTGTTGGATTAAACAGACGTACAGCAGAAATCTGTGGAAAAACAGGCTGACTGTCCTGAGCTGGAAATTTAAGAGACTAGTTTCTTGGCAAAACAGAATGTATTTACCAATATTGGTCACACTCTACATTTTATTTTAAGAATCTCTAAATTCGCCACTTGTTCTTTCCTATTTTGTCTCTACAAAAGCCTTCTTTCCTGTCTGTTTCCTGTTTCAAAAACTAGGAATGGTGATAAACAGCAGTTGTTAAACAATTGAACATACTTTGCTGTGTGATTTTCACCTAGGAATGTTAACAAAATTTTGCTGAGCAGCACTGAGCTGCTGATGCTAGTGTTTTAGTAAGTGCTGGAAAACCAGGGACTAATCTTGGTAAATGTGGGGGGAAAAACACCTAAATGTTGGCTCTGCATGAAAATGGGTAAGTTCAGGATAATGGTAATCCCCACTCAGTGATTGTGAAACTGTTACTGGCAAAGTATTGGAGAAATGCAGTGTGGTTATCACTGATCCATGTGGATTTTTGGAGAATACTCCCTTTCAGAAACTGTATCCAGAACTTTATAGTGATGGGAGAAGATTTTAGAAAATGACAGCGTGCAGCTGGGGTCATGCACCTTTCCCTACTCCCAACCTCCTCCTCCTGGCACCAGTTTCCGCTTTTTTGACTAATTGGAGCAGCCAGGAAATGATCCCATAGGTAAAACTGCTTTCCTTGGCATCTTTAAAAATGTATCTTGAACTGCTGCTGGAATGTCGAGGTTGTGTCAGGAACTGTTTGGCAGTGCTGGTATGAAGAGGAGCGGATGCACAAACCTTACCTGTGTGGGGAGTCTGGAGAGATCCATGGAGCTTGTCTTGGGAATGGTTGTGTGGCCTGTCTTGTGGTGTCTCCTGTGTAGCTGCTGGCAGTGACCTTGCTGCGCGTGGGCAAAATCAATAGTGGGAGGTTCTCTCTCTGTTGTCTCTTTGTTGTCTCTTCTGTGCAAGCTGAGACCTTCCTTTGCCAGCTAGCAGCTGTGAGGGCTCCTTTGAAGTTATTTGGTAAACTGAGTCATAGGAAAGATTCTGAGCTATTCATGTAGGAGTGAAAGATGCCATGGGAATTTGTGCATGAGTGTAGCTAACCTAGACCTCACCGAGCCTGGTTGTTGATTCCTAAAATTGTTGGCAGGAGTGAACTCTGGTAATTGCTAGCCCTTTCTGAAGCCTTTTCCATTCTGTTTTCCTAGGTTGGATGATGCAGCTAAGCAGAAATGATCCTGAGTGTGCCTCTCTGCTTTCCTTATGCTTTTATGTGTCTCCTATGGGCACAGTCTCAGTCCCACTATCAGGCAGTGTCAGAAGAAGATTGTTGTAATTCAGATTTTTTCCCCTAACCAAAACAGACTTTGGCAGGGTAATAAAGGCTTTTGTGCATTTAGGCTTGAAGAGTTGAAAGCTCTTCTCTAGTCCTCTGGGAAGCATATATCAGTGGTGCTAATTATAATCCCACAACAAGCTTGTTGCCACGCGGAGGCAATAGGAAGTATCAACTTCTCACTAAAACTCAGCATACCGTGGTCTGCTGATTATGTGTAGCCATGGCAGACACTGGGAATGGGATTGTGTTTCTTATCCTGTTTTTTCTGCTACAGCTATTCAATCTTGTTATCAACTTTGGGGGAAAAATACCCCAAAACCCAGAAAAGCATTTAGGCTTTTTCATCAGCTGTATTGACAGGGTGGACAACTATTCATTACAGTTGGTGTTTTAAGGCATCAGAGCAGAACTGGATGGGAAAATGCTCAAGTATATGTAGGAAAAAATAGCTGTGGCCCAAATATGGTCTTTTTTTATATAATCTTCCTGTGAGAATGGGCTCTGAACCCCAAGTTGTTTATCACTGGGCTCTCCAGAAGAGCCACTGCCGTGTTGACCAGAGTGGTTGTGGGCACTGAGATGCTTTGATGGTTGTCTACTAAGTTTGTGTTCTGCCTGCCCGGGAACGCTTTCTTGGGGTACAGTAGAAAATGATAATCACTGGATGAAGAGTAAGTGCTACGAGGGATTGAGCATTAACTCTGCTTCTTTCAAAATCCTAGAAAAGATGAATGACTGCACGTGGTGAATCATCACTGACGTGGTTTTTCAGAGGAACAGCCAACGTTCCTTTGAGACTTGATGAATAAGCAGTTGTTGCAATTCTTTGTCTGTGTGTGAAGTAGCCTCTTCCTAACTTCCCAAAATGCAGAAACGATCACAAAACAGGAAAAGCCACTTTAGTGGTGAATATGGGTTTCCAGGTGTCCCTTTAATTGATTTCTGTCATACAGTTTCCAAACATAATTACACCAGTTGAATTACAATTAGCTCTGTGGATTTATGTTACTATTTATGAGGATTTGGGCTTCTTGTTTTGCAGGAAGATACCATAATTATGGCTTCAAATGGATGAGAGGAGAATATGGAGTGAGCATGTCAGGCTGATTTTCTGAAAATAGACCCTTTAATTCTAGTGTAACAGTTATGTGTTTTGGTTTGTGACATCTCAGATTTATGTCATTTCCAACTAAGATGCTAGGACAAAAAATGTGATAAATCCCTTTGGTTTTCATGCTTACTAGTCTTGTTCCTTCTCAAGGCTAGAAGGTTCAAACTTGCTACAGGTATTTGACAGCTTTGATGATAAAGGATCTTTTAAGTGAATTTTAGAAAATGGCATAGCATTTTTGACTCAGCAGCACTGGGCTTTGGAAGGAAACTTCAGAAAATAAAATCTGGATTAGGTAAGTCTGAACACATAAGGTAATACCAACTGGCAAGTGTTGCCTTTGCCCCTTGTCTGGAAGAGTCATAATTCTTGACTTACATTAATTACTTGGTAGATGTTAAATGAGAATTTAGTTCTGTGGAGGGATTCTCTGGTGTGCCCCACTTTGTTGGTTTGCTCCAATGGTATATTTATGTTTTTCAGTATAACAGTTTTTAATTTCATTTCATTTCATTTTAAGGAGGAGAATTATTTTGTGGGGTTTAGAAGGCAAGTTCCAAAACCAGAGGACACTTCACAGTGCCTGAAAGAAGATACTTAAAAAGGCATGAAGTGGATTCTTAACTGTGAACCTGGGTTTATAATACTTCATGAATCAAGTGCTCAGTTAATTGAATTATCTAGTTGGTAGGCAGGCACGTCAGATAGAGTTATTGTTTATGGGATGGACAAATTTGGCATTAAACACAAGGTGCAGGAAATAACTTGTTTATTTGTTATTTCCCTATTGTTTGTTCATAGTAATTTTGAATGCAGCATAAATTTTAATATCTGCAAATGCGCATAATGCTCTGATCAGTCCTTTTTGTGTAAGACTCCTGTTGATGTAAGCAATTCAGCGAAAGAGCATTTGAAATGGAAAAAATTATTCAGCACTTTACATAAAACACGTTTGAAAGTTTGTCCCGGGGTGAGTGAAGTCATCTGAGCTGGCTGACAGCGGTGCATCATGTGCTGCTGCACTGCAGGCAGGGGCTGGTGGGTCCTCGTGCGCCGCTTGGCACAAGTGCAGGGAGCTTTTTGCGTGTTCCAGCTCAGGAATGCTGTGGCCTGTGGTGGGAATTCGTGTTTGGCTCAGAATTTTTCGTTCTCACTTTGGATGTGTAGCTGCAGGTGTGTGGTGTGACTGTGCTCGTTCCCCTGGGGAAGCCTGGGGGGGTTTAGTGGCACTTTGAGCCCCGGTGCAGGGTCCTGCCACCCCAGGCAGGCCTGTTTCTCAATGTAAATTATGTGGCTGTGGGATAATCTCTGTAATAAGACTTTAAAAAGAGCTGCACTTATAGAGCTTTGTGTAAGCAAATGGCAAAGAAGTATCTATTGCTACAGTCAACCCAGAATAATTTTATTTCCCTACTAATTAAACAATATCTAAAATGGAGAATATAGGATTTCTAGGAAATGGACTTGCCTTGTTTGTGATATTTGAAATGTCAAAAGTGTTTTTAGAGCTGTTTTCAAACTGAAACAGAGTAGGGGTAAACAAAGTCATGGCTGCCTTGAAGTGTGTCTGATTGGATGTGTAAAATACTTCATATCTATTTTTGAGATAATTGAATAAATCTCCAATGATGATATTGTTGTATTGACCAGGTATTTGTGACCAGGCATTAGTCTACAAAAGGTACAGCGGAGCTTGAAATGAAGAAACTGAAAAAAATTGTGATCTATGAATGTAATTGTGGTGGAAGAATTATTAATTCTTAAAATTCAAAAGTTCCTTACTGAGATTTAGATATATCTACATAGTTAATGTATAAATATTTAACATTAAGCATGCATTATAAATGAAGAATTACCATCATGAGAAACTGAGATGTTCTAGTTACCCAAGCACATTCCACAGCTTTTGTGGTAACCTTTCCAGTACAAAAATAATTGGAGGTTGGGCAGCTGTGGTTATTTATTGGCATTTTACTCTGTTTTGGTGGTGGCAGCAGTTCCTGGGGGTACTTGTTGGGTATTGGAGGTGAGGTAAGGAGAGGTTTCTTCAGCTGATTGTTGGTAGAGATGTGTGCTGAGTATGCTTTTACTGCCTTTTTCTGTAACTAAATTAAACTGTTCAAGTGCAAGCTCCTGGACCTGTCCTTGTCTTCCGCACTGGGAAGCAGAGGGAGACAATTGCTAGGGATAGGGGTGAGCAAATCCAGCGTGGACCTTTCCCCAGGTGCTCGATCTGAATTTTCTGTTTCTCAGTATTCGTGGTCACAGTTGGAGAAGTACTTAACAACTTTCTTCAGCTTATTCATTCTCATTTCTAATATTTTTTTCCTTTTATTAGGAATACATAATCCGTGTTCAGAGAGGAGTTTCAGCAGAAAACAGTTGGCAGGTAATTTCTTAAGCTGTGGTTCATGTAACCAGGATGCCTTTTTAGGATGAGTTTGAAAATTGTCTCTTCCTAGCTTTTCAGACTTGAGCTGGAAAGAGAAATGTTCATTTGGAATTGAGAACATGAAGTGCTTGAATACTTTTGATCAAAAACTAAGAGAAAACCAGTATTGCTGCCAGCTACAGAAGGCATGTTGTCTGCTCCTATTCTGAATATTCCAGGGAAAATGCCTGTCATGTGTTACTACTGCGTGTTGGTACAACCATCATTTTAAAATCTCAAATGCTAGTTTGCCTTCCTTGGGGCTAAAATCACAGCCTTGCTGAGCAACAAAACCAAGAAGTAGTAATGAAGATGACTATGAAAAGTTGTTGCATCTAATATGGCAAAAATGCCTTATTTGCAGACAACTTAGCTCACAAATACTTTTAAAACTGTTTTAAGATAATATTTAGAAATGCATTTTCTTTCTGGTCAGATATGATTAAAAACTGCTTTGCTCTCTGGCAATGTGGCATAAATCCAACAGTTATGTCTTTGTACAAGAATTGTTAAAAGAAGAAGATGATTATAAATGGGAATTACTTTTCTCTGATGTGATTTTGCAGAGTAAAATGCTAATGGAAAAAGTAATTTTTTTCCTGAACTTTGTCTATTATTTTGCAGATTGTGAGGCGATACAGTGACTTTGACTTGCTTAATAACAGCTTACAGGTAACTTTCACCCTTGATATATATCTAAATATAAAGTCTAATTAGAAGGGTTTATTTAAAATGGCTTGTGATATTTGTATATATTGTGGTGAAGAAGAAATAAAAATTCACATAGCTGTAAAGAACAACTGTGACTTCAAATGTAACTTGAATGTGTACTTTTTCACTCCTACATTTTCCCGTATAAAATTGAATTTTAGCATCAATGAGATCAATTTATATAGAAGTGGAGGAAATTGGCAGATACTGAATCTTTCCCTTCAGTACTGTGACTTGTTCCGGTTTTGTGTGTTTTTATTTGTTCCTTCTTTGATTTGGAGAAAGCCAAGGCACATACCAACCTTATAAATTCAGCATTGAAATGCTATGTGTCCCATTATTTATATTCGTCTAAAAGCACTACCAGATGCTGCTTCTCATGTGATGGTTTTCTGTGTCACTGAGGAGTGTTCCTTGGCCAAACACTGGACTCACTGTGTGTTTTCTTCTGCTTTTCAGGACAATTATTTCTTTTTAGTTTGTGTGGGAAAAAGCAGGGTGTATGTGAGTGTGTTTGGAAAAGGGGGGAAGCAGGAGTGATGAGCATGTACAGGGTTGAAACTTGTTACTTGGGACTTCCATGGTCCTGGGCAAACAAGATGAAAAATGAATGATGCAGTTTGAGGGTAGATTTTTGTGAGGTTGAAATTTTTTCCCCTGTTAAATCTTGCATGAATTCAAGGGTTTAATGCTGTTTCCACTTCCTCTTTACCTCCCCAGTTTAATCAACTACCTGCTTGATGATCCTTGGTGAGCAACACCCTGTTAGGGTGTTGAATTGTGAACTCTGACAGTCTGCTGTAACCAATTCCTTTGCTGAAGGTGGATGAGGGGACAAATTAATCAGAATTCAACAGATGCAACTTGGTTGTCTTGTTGAATTATTCTGTTGAATGTGCAGTAGCACGTAGGAACTTTTATCATGACCTAGAAACCTTCTCTGTGATGTGCTGAATAAATGCAATACAGAGATGTGTCCTGCTCCAGAGACATCCAAGATTTAAAATTAGATAAACACCCAGGGGAACTCGAGGAGATGAGATGGTACTAGTCATCATCAGAGTACCTAGGGGTCATTGTGGTCTTAACCATTGTCAGGTTCTGATAAAGATCACAGAGAAAGAATTTTGAGAAAGTTTTAAAAAGAAGAAAGAGTTCACTTTTTGCAGACACCTCTGACAAGCTCCTCTTAACCCTGGGGGATAGAATGTATTAAGGTATGAAAAAGCTTTATGCCTTCTCATTTACATTTCAAATGAGGCACCTTTAGTAGAGAAAGCAATGGACCTTTAAGTCTTAAAATTCAGAAATGCCAGGTACTACAGGGTTGGGCCTAGGTGGAAGGTCTAGAAAGTGAAGGTAAATACGTTATATATGATAAAGAAAAAGCCTTTTTATCTGAGGCAGAAGTGAATGATAAAAGGGGAGGGTTCAGGAAATTATCTGACAGCAACTTGCAGAGTGGGATAAGGGGGAATTTGAAACAAGGAGGGAGACCAAGATCTAAGAGAAAAACATCAACTTCTTGGGTGACCGGAAAACATCAAACAAAATGATCAAAACATACCTCTAACTTGGATGGGAGGATATGAGAGCATGGCTAAATTAGCAGGCTGTGGTCTTTAGCACTTGACTCCTTCAATGAAAACTACTGCTCACCCCTTGATTTTCAGACTCCTGAGTCTGCTTTCCACAGTCTGGAAAGGCAAGGTTACGTCTCTGTTTGGAGAAGCCTTTTCTGGCTCGTACAGAGAACCACCCTGAAAGGTATTATTCTTCATTATGTGCCCAGCAGAAGGGCAGGAGATGCACAGCTCTATTTTTGGCAAACACTACTGCTTCTCCAGCCTAGTTCTAAATGCCAGGGCAGACAGTAACTAGTGAGAATCATGGCAAAATTACTCTTTTCTCCCACTGTTTTGGATTTTTTATAAATTGCTCTTTATGATGCTGAAGCTGAAGTTTTTGCATCCATTAAGACAATGCAACACTCCTCTGTTCTCTCCATCCAGAACTCTAAGCAACAATATTCTGTCACAATATTTAGGTCTCATGACTTGTGTGTAGACTCTTTAAACTCTTGTGTATATTGAAATTGGAGTAAACAAAACTCCACACAAAGCACCCTCCAAAAAACAGTATAAAACAAGGACCAGTAAGAAGATACCAAACTCCAGTCTTCTTCCTTCAAAACTAAAGTGCAGCTGGAAAAACTGAGCTTCTTTTGGATGTAAAGGCCCAAGTTCTTCAAGTTCTCGTGGCATACTTGACCTTTTTGTAGATTTTGGTGTTTGTGTTTCAACACAGCTGCAGTTGAGTTGGCATGCAAATTAATCTGGTGCTACCTATACAATAATACTAAGGATGAAGAATTTCAAAACTGTCTAGGCTTGGGAATGCATACTTTTGACCCTGATTTGTATCAGAAAGTTTCAAGCCAGATTCCCTGAACTCTCAGCTGTACTGGATTGAAAAGCTCCTTCCAGTCTGTCCTGCATTTCTTCCTCTTCCCTTATTTGACAGAGATGTGTGGAGATCCTTGACTGCTCTTCTGTTTTGTTAAGTGAAGTACTGGAAGCAGTGGAATTCACAGCAAGATATCTGGCTTTTGTGAAGCATTTTACTGCAGCTTTTGAACAGACATTCCTGAGCGGGCTGTGGTTTGAAGATAAGAATGTTAATTCCCAGGTTCTTCCGTGGTGAAGCCCATCCTGGCTCCAGTGGTGAGCTGGGGCCACAGAGAAATATTGCTGGTGTTTGAAAGCATGTGAGGTCTTGGCAAGGTCAGGACCTCAGTGAGGTGTCCTTCTAGGACAGACAGTGTTCTCGCTGTGCTGTGTGTTTTGTTAGATTGCTACAAAAACCTGGGCCTGAATGTTACTTTCTGCTGAAAAATAGCAGATGTCTGATTTATAAGCTTTAAAACAAGTAATAGTGGTTTGAAAACATCTGAACTAGAGTGAGTGTCTCTCTGATGGTAGCTAGCTGTCAGGTCAAGAAGGTAGAGGTGATTATCATTTGACATGCTTTTTGAGTGAGTAATACCAGAAAAGGATTTAGGTTTTGTTTGGAAACTTGGTTTTCAATTGGAATGGTCTGCCAAAGGAGAGTTCTATTCGCCTCTGGTGTTAAAACTAATTTGGTGAATTCTTGACTGTAAGTGGGATATGGTTGCCTTTGGGTTTATTCCTGGATATTTTTTTTCCCTTGGGTCTAAAAGAGCACTGAAAATTCTCAGTGAATAAGATGATTTTTATAAACGTCTTCTGTAATCCAGACATAGTTATAGTTCTTTTTCAATCCCTAATTTGCAGTCAGAAACTGGTGAAGTAGAAGTGCTAAATTTAGTAGGGAATAACTCTCGTGTTCAAAATGTATGAGGTAAAAAGGAAAGGGAATGCTTCTTCTGTCCCAATTTGTTGAACTAATCCCTTACCTTTTCCACTAGTTAAAATGAAAGTTGTTCAAACACCAAAAGCCCCTGTCTTCTCCCTGGTGAACTGTTTGCTTTAGAAATGAGGTTTTGCATCTGGTGTAATTGATTCCTGCAACACACAATTCTTAAAGATAACTCCCATGGAGATTCAACTTACCCAAGGCAGGTGCTTTGATCTGCAAGACAACAATGTGTTAACAACATGAAAAATGTATTCTGGCAATTCACATGACGTAATTGAATATAAACACAGAGGGTGATCTCTTTGATCTGACTTACATAAGGCTTTGAATTTCTGTACATTTTTTCATTGTCCTATTTTGAAGGATTTCTCTGATTTTCTTTCTGAAGTTTTGGATCACTAATGTCAGCATAAAACAACTACTCTATGCTCACTGGTAGATTGCAACTATTTCTGGGTTGAAAGATGTATAGAATTAAAAAAAAAAAGTACAGTAGCAAGTTCTGAAGAGAAAATGGAAAAGTTGCACCATATTTGAAATTACAGATTTAAAGTACTTTAGAAAAGGGCTTTAAATTACCTACAAAGTCATGGAGTCAAAGGAAAGTTACTAATCTACACTTCATGAAATAAGAAAGCACAAATCTTATCCAGGGAAAATGGTAAGGTGTGAATAGTTTTTCTACTGTGGCAGAGGTGTGTCATAGGAAAGGTCTGGCTGAAAATTGTAGCCATTTAGTATCTGAAAGTTTTGTGTAGTGATCTTAAATGTATGACTCACTTGCAAAAATTTTGTCTCCTTGTATTTTCAGTGTTGTTCCATTTACTAGTCTCTTCACAGTGGGATGTGACATCTGACTCTGATAACAGTACTTAGGAAAAATATAAAAGCTTGTAATACACAATATGAAAAGAGTTATTGAGTAGTTAGCTTGCTGCTGAGAGTCTTTTACTTTCTGAGTTGCCAGTTTATATCCCCAAGGCATTTTGAGAGCAAGGTTAGTAATTTTTCCTCTCTTTTTAAGATCTCAACTCTAAGTCTACCTCTTCCTCCAAAAAAATTGATTGGAAATATGGAGCGTGAATTCATTGCTGAAAGACAGAAGGGACTCCAGGCCTATCTCGACGTAATTACTACCCATCACATACTGTCCAACTGTGAACTGGTGAAGAAATTCTTGGACCCAAACAGCTATTCTGTAAACTACACTGGTAAGTCGGAAATACAAAACTGTATTACAGTTTGACTTTAGGATGTGTGTTTATCTTCCATGAATGCTGGCAAGGATCTGCACTGAAACATGTGGGGAACAACCTTCAAAATTATAATATTGTGTGTGTGGTTATTTATGATAAGGCTTCTCCAGCTCTGTGCATGGATCATGCTGAGATTGTCAAATCTAAATATTTGAATTATTTCACAGAGGGTCAAGATAAGCAGAACTTGGAGGAGGGAGAGTTGCTGATAAATGGAGAGGGTTGGTGTTGGGAAGTCATTTATCTGTCACAGTGTAAGGTGGAGTTAAGTTTGTCCACTCTGTATTCTTCTAAAACAGCCAATCTTCTCAACACTGAGTCTTTCAACAGGAGCAGTTGTGGTCATCTTGTCCAGCTCCTACTGTTGCTTTGGGGTGTGAGACTTCCAGAACTAATTGTTTAAGCTATGTTTAGTACTTTTAGTACTATGTTTAGCTTGAATAAGTCAGACACCCTCTTCCCACAAATTCTGGAAAGTCACTGTATCCCCAGTGATCAGTTTCTTCATTACTAAATGTTTCTTCTTTGAATTTGTATTACTTCAGCTATTGGAAACCATTAAATAATTGTCTTACAGACTGAAGAAACTTCCTCTTAGTGATCAAACCCACTGCACAGATTTAGTTCAGGGGCAAACCGACTCTTTGCAAAATGCAAAGCTTGTTTTCATAAAAGCAGAATCTCCTGAAGCAGGAACTCACTACTTCCTTTTCACTTGTCTTTTTTTCTCCCTTTATGTAACATTCTGGTGTCTTCAGCTCCAAAGTGCAAAGAACGTTTCCTGGATGTTTATGATAAGCTGTGCAGGAGCTGTAAATTCTTAGTAACTCTTTAAGGATGCAGTTTGTCTGGCTGATGCTGAGCAAGCAATTTAAATCCTCTAGGAGACTCTGTGACTTCTGTGTTAGTTCTGAGAACTTTCATCAAGATTGTGTTTCCTGCCAGTTGCTGGGAACTTAGCAGCACAGACATCATTGTCTATGGTCTTTAGAGACCATCAGTTTGTCATCTTTTAAATACTGGAGCAGTGAGATGATATTTATTGCACTTTTTTTCTAGCACATTTATATAGAGAGAAGATACAGTGAAGAGGGAGAGATCAGCACATCCTTACCTTTGTGCTGATTTTCTATGCCAAGATAAGCCGTTTTAGAGAAAATCCCTTGCTAGCGTGATTCCCTTTCTCCCCCTGCTGTCGCCACCTCTCATTGAGATTTTCCTTCAGGTCACTTCATGAATAAACCAGTTGTGCTCCCAGCTCTGGGAGAATTCATGAACAAGATGTGTGTCCTCCCTCCAGCCCCCCAAATGTATGGATGCTCATGACAGCTGGCCAAATACCTTTGTCTGCACAGAAAAGGGCAGGATAACACATGGTGAAACAGAACTGTTTAGTTTACATAATTTGCATGTAGCAATGGCAATATAGATGCACATTAAAGAGATAAAAGTACTTCTACAGGTATAGCAGAAACATTTCATGATCTAATGTTGTGTACTCCTACTGTGGGAAATCTGAGCTGTGAGCGTTGGATTTAGACTTTGAAATGTAGATCTAGTAGAGATAGAAAGCAGACTGTTAAGCTAAGTTTTCCAAGCAGTGCTTTCTCTGTTTTCTCTCTGGATTTGAGTTATCGAGTTAAAAATGCAAATGCCCTCTAACTGTGTTTTTATCTGATTTCCTTTTGAAGTGATTTTGCTGACTTTTAGTCTGAATTCCTGCGGGCTTCCTTCTGGTGTTGAACCTTACCTAATATGTGGATAACTACATTATATAGTCTCTTTAAAACATTTTAATTTCTTTTCTACTTTTTTCCCCCCCCTTCTTCTCATTTTTTCTTTCCAGAAATTGCCTTACAGCACGTTTCAATGTTCTTCCGATCAGAGCCAAAGTGGGAAGTGGTAGAACCATTAAAAGATATAGGTAAGAAGAGCATGTGTGCATGAAAGCTTGTCTGATTTTTTTCCCAACTATATGAGTTGTTCTGAGATTCCAATCTTAGGTCTAAGATTCCAATCTTAAGTCTTTGCTTACAGACCTTGTCCTGCTTGTAAGTTGTGTCATTTAGTAGTGTTTAATTAAAGCTGCTGCTGCCTTTTTTTTTGTAGGCTGGCGAATACGTAAGAAATATTTCTTAATGAAGATAAAGAATCAACCAAAGGAACGGCTAGTGTTAAGCTGGGTATATATGCCTTCATCTCATCCTCAAATCTTTCTCAGTTTCACTCAAGATTTTATTTTGACTACCATGTGTGAGTGACAGAGAGATAGGTTGAAGAGCTCAGGCTTTGAGAGAGCCTTGAAAGCCCTTAGGTGGATGTGTGGTGTGGGAATTTCTTGTGTTTCTTTCCTCTGGCAAATCCAGTTTGCAGGTTTCTGTGCCTGGCCATTTGTTCCTAATCCTGCACCTCAGGATTCTTTCGTTGTAATGATGTGGGTGTTGACCGTATGTAAATCTGCTCGCTGAAAATAACAAGATGATCCTTTTTAAAGTGATGGGTTTTCTTATTTAGATCTTTAGTTGTACTGACAAGCTAATAAGCAAGAGAGGCATGAACTTTGACAACACTTGCTTTTGCTGCTGTGCTAAAATGTGCTGCCCCCTTAATTGTATGAGCAGAGCTGTTTGTGAGACTTCACTGGAGAGCACAGATCACTAAAGCCTGCAATAGGAGGGGAGTTTTTCTTGGTGCAGAGGAAGGAGGTGTCTTATCAGTTCACAATGCACACAGTCCCTCAGTTTGGAGTTGGCAGAGTTCATTCAGTGGTAGTAATGAATGTCAGATCTGGGGGAGGAAAGAGGCAGTAATATTTATGGTCACACATTTTGTTTGTGAAACCATGGCCTTATTCAGCCTCTTCAGGTTTCATTTTGTATGTGTAATTTTCTTGCTTGTTCTTCAAAATATACCTTCAAACATCTGTCTTCACTTGCCAGAGAAGATAGATCACGTTTTCTTTATGGAATGCAACATCTTTTATGATGCCATTCTTTTCCTATTTATTTCTAGGCTGATCTTGGCCCTGATAAGTACTTGTCTGACAAAGACTTACAGTATGCTGTGAAACTTCTTTCTTCCTGTTCTGTGAGTATTACTTGAAGACTTTTAAATTGTGCACAGAAGTGCATGTCAAGGATTGATCTTGCCAAAGCACATATAGCCTAGTAGACAGTTTGTAATTTTAGAGTTGCTTTCATGTAAAGGTTTGCAAACCTTTTAATTACATTTCCCATATAATATGAAGCAACATGTTCTCAGCACAAATAGTAATACTGCAGGTTTATTACAGGAGATTCAGTGTTGTGGTTAGTTTAATTTTTTTTCTTCTTGTGCAGTACTGTGAGGTCATGAGCTTTTATTTCAGCTCCTCAGCACTTTCAGGCTGTTAGGATGGTGCTGTCTAGGTGTAAGTGCTGGCCCATGAGCTGGGGATATTCTCAGGCAGCAGTGGATGAGGCAATGGAAGGACTTTTAGGTTTTCTCAGTTCTTTGAACTTAAAAAAAGGAGTGTCTCAGTAGAGGTACAATGGAAGCTGTACAATTTAAGCTCCTGTGCAATGCCACGCTATAAATCCAATAGGCATCTCTGCCTGAAAAACTGGTATTTTACTGCAAAAGGAGTTAAGGATGTTAAGCATGTGAGAGACTGGCTGAAAAGGATGGTATTTAAACTGGTAAATCTCTTTGCAGTCCTGGAGCTCAGCAGTTGCCCATAACAGGAGACACTGAAAACCAGGCTGCTCAAACCCCAGCCAGACTGAAACTGTTGTGTTAAAATGAGACATGAACAAGGGGTCTTCTCCTGACTAGCAATTTCAGTTGGTATATGCATTGTATCTGTAATTTATTTCCAACTGTGCTCTCTCATTCGGTTTTGCAAAGTTGTTACAATAATTTCTGAAGACATAAAACTGTTATGACAGCTATTAATGCTGAATTTCCTTATGTGCCATAGTTGTATAAAACTGGGAATGAATTTATTAGCTTAACATGACTTAAACCTGCAGTAAAGTTGCTCATGAATAAGTGTTGTATTCTTCATCTGTCTAAACTGCCAGTCTGTTTTGTTAAAAAAAAAGATGGTGGATTTTCTCTTTTTAATTTATGTACTAATTGAATAATGTCTTAGTGAAGTTTTCTTTGCATGGGTTATTCAATGTCATTGACAGAATCCAATTTATTACCTTAAATGTACAATTCAGGCAGATCCTTTCCTGCTTGTGAATTGAACATGAATGAATTGCAGAACCAGTCATCTAAAATTTACCTGTTGTGTTCTTCTTTTGGTAGCATCCCTATATTTACAAAATCACTTTTGCCACTGCCAGTGAATCTTCAGCACTGGTTATTAGACCATTCAGTGAAAAAGGGACACTCAAGGACCTTATTTATAAGGTAATGTCTACCCCCACCCCCAACTCAAATGGCCGAATGTTTGCTGGAATGACCATAGCGTGTCTTTTATAAAAGTGTTTGCCATCTATTGCTGAGCAAACTAAGACAAATACTGACTTTTCTTGGCATGATTTCGATATGTGTATTTGTTTTAAAGGCAAAGCCAAAAGACCCATTCCTGAAGAAGTATTGCAATCCTAAAAAAATTCAAGGTCTTGAGCTTCAGCAAATAAAAACGTATGGAAGGCAAATATTAGAGGTACTTTTTTCTTTGCTTTATTTACCTGCCTTTATGGTTTTTTTTTTTTTTTGAGGCCAACTGGTTTAGCTAGAAAAGCAGACAAACTTTTGAGCACAGAAGCTTTATTTCAGCAGCAGACTTCAAAGGTAAATGTGAGTTGAGATTAGCTGCTGAGAGTTGAATTTAGATATGTGTGAGACCATTTATGACAAAAAAAAAGAAAAAGGCAGTTGGTGCATGTGGAGTTTTAAGTGGGAGAGAGATGATAATGTAGTTTTTTCCTTATGTGAAAAGGAAAAGAAGTAATTGATACACTGCAGAACATGTGCCATAAATTCATGGTCATCAATATGTTTTTAAAATTTTTTTGATTCAAACTATTATATTCAGTAGAATTGTGAATTTCGGTTTCCAGATCTCTTTTAGGAGGTGGCTGCTTTGAGGTTCAGCATCAAATGTTTGTTTTGTGAGAAGTGTTACCAGTGAAATGGGGATGAATAGGCAGGCAAAGATGATGTAGAAGATCAAGTTGAGCAAGCATTCCAAATGAGGGCCTCATTTATTATGTATCTGCTGTAGTACTGGAGGATTTAAGCTGATGATCTTATGATCTTGAGATCATCAGAACATCTTGTGACAGTGCTCCTGTATTGGATTTTTTTTCAGGTATTAAAATTCTTACATGAGAAAGGATTTCCTTACGGCCATCTTCACTCTGCCAATGTGATGTTGGATGGGGATACCTGCAAGTTACTGGATCTAGAAAATTCCTTGTTGGGACTTCCATCATTTTATCGATCATACTTTTCACAGTTTCGGAAAATTAATGTAAGATTCAAACAATTACTTCAACCGAGTCTTATGCATCTCTTTATCCTCAACCTCTGTTTGTGGAGAACTGACTAGAATGAAAAATACCTCTCTCAAACCCCTTTTTTTAATCTGAGCTTTTCTCCATCAAATTGCTTTTCTGCTTCCTCCAAATCACTCTTTGGCTGCACAGCAGTTTTGTTGCAGCACACTGGAGTGAGGCTGAGGCCAAAGGTAAGCAGGTAAAAGGGGAGTGCAGGTGAGTGTTTTTGTGATAACAGTGCTGGCACAAATAGAGGTGAAGTGCAGTTGTTTTAAGATCTCTTTCCACCCTGGTCTTATATTTCATAGGAATGTGCTTATTGTCTAGCACACATTCTCACTTACATGTCTGTCCAGTGAGCACAACTTATTACTTATGCTTAGGTGGGAGTATTAATCAGCCTTGTCTTTGGTGGATACTGTGAAAATTGATGAGATGCTTGCAGATGTCTAGCTATTCAAAACTGGTTTTTATTTGTTTGAAGGGTGTCTGTTAACTGCGGGCTTGCAAAGCAAAATATTATCTTCCTGCAAAAGTATGTAAACAAATTTGCCCTGCTGCTGCAATCCAGCAGCATCTTGCCCTGCCTTTAGGCTCTTATTGTAATAAATTCCATACAGCATCACGAGATAGCTACTTGCTGGCCTTGCTAAACAAGTTCTGCTGTGTTGTCAAAGAAACGATCAAAAGTTCATGGTTAGCCCAAATCTGTTAGTACCATCAAGGCTCTGAGCCTCTTCCAGTAAGAGGAACCCTTTCTGTTTAAACACAATTCAGAAATCTTGGAAATACGCTGTCTGGGAGCTTAGAATGTGTGTGCAGCTTGCACAAACCTAAGGAGGAGCAAGGGAGGCTTTCCTAGGTTTGTTTGATATACACTTTTTTCTATCTTTTTACCTGTAAAGTGGCAGCAGGTCCTACTATGAACCTCATTCTTTGCTGTTTGACTTAGCTCAGAAAATGGACTTGGCTGGGATTTCTGTCAACATGTGGCTTTCTAAACTGCTGTAAGAAAAGAGCTTACAACTTCACACATTTTCACAGAACTTGACTATACTGCTGTCACATTTTTATCATGACATACAGGAAGACAGTGGTGGCTGCTTTAGCTTGAGGCGTGAAGATTTCATTTGAGCTACAGTTACACTGGGAAATGGTTGTGGTTAAGAACTGCCTAGTGGTTCCTCTTTTCTATCTTCACATGCAAAATCACTGTTTTTCTACAATGGGTTAACCAGTTGTGAAAAACTAACAGGTTGTGGCTTTTTTTTTTTTTTGTTCCTCCACAGACTTTAGAAGGTGTTGACGTACATTGCTTCGGACACTTACTGTATGAAATGACGTACGGAAGACCCCCAGACACGATTCCAGTAGAGAGCTTCCCCCCTGCACCCTCAGTGTTTGTTGGTTAGTATGCAATGGAGAACATCTCAGTCACAGCTGCCCAGGTGCACTCTTAACTTTTACCCAAGCTAAAGTGCTGTGAGATCTTTGCAGCCTGTGACCAGAAAGAATTAATAATTTGGTCAAAGAGAAAATGTGTTCTTCATGAAATATATGTAGTGTATAAGTAAAACCTTTCTTTTTGTTTTTTAGCTGAGTGATAAAGCAGTGTTTAGTAAGTAATGAGATGCCTGGATTCCCTTGCCTTATGTCTAACATTCTTGAAAAGTTTGTGTGTGTAATAGTAACACTATAATAAAAAACACATGCCACAGAGCTTCATCACTGCTTGCTTGATGCAATACTTAGGGGAACATCACACAGACATTCACTCTAAATCATTTGCTGTCCTGCTGTGCAAAAATGTGTTCATTTTTGTGCTTTCTTTGGTAGTGTCAGTGTTGGAATCCATTCTGACCTGTGAAGCTATGAAGAATGGCATGCCAACTGTCTCACGGCTCTTACAGATGCCGTAAGTCCTGTTCTACTTGTTTTATACTCATAGTAATGTTTTTAATTATTTCAGGAGGAAGAGCCTTTTTGCTCTTGTTTCTTTTTAGAAAGGTTTGCTCCTTGTTCTGAGGGATGTGTCCCAAATGAAGCTTTAAAATTGACAGGCTTTATAGAATCCGTCCCTTGTGAACATGATGAATGTGCTTTTAACATTTCTTTGTCTCTTGCTGTGTTGGAGCTGTTATGAATGCACTTTAGTTAGCATGATTTAAATTAATCCAGCTATTAAAGTAATGCAAGCATGATTAAGATCATGTACAGATTGATTTAAAAGAGAAGACTGTAAACAGGGGAGAAATACTGTAAGGAAACTCTGTGAATAGAGGAATCTACAGGTCTTAGAAGATGTTGAACAAATAATCCATGCCCAGCTGCATCTGATATTTAAGATAATATACTACATCCCCTTCATACCAAAATTCCTCACAAAAATGTTCTACGTAGATGTGCAATGGAATGAATGTAATTTAAAGCAATTAATGTAATTTAAATATCTAATTACTATAGCCATACAAACTATGACTTTTCTTAATTTCATAAGAACATGTAATCAGAAAGGGTCAGAAAGCCCTGTAAACAAGGATGAATTGTCATGGTTTTTTGAAAGTATTTTAAAATCTGCTTTATTTTTACATTTTTCATGGAATACTCTCCATAATTAACTTCATTCTAGACTTGAGTTTTTTTCTCTACTAGCCTGTCATAATTTTCCATAGTGAACAGCAACAAAAGATCTCAGAAATATTTATCTTGGAGCCAGGTTTGAGATCTCTCTGGGACAGTTTTCTAGTATGTTCTCCAGGACTAAGTATCTTGAAATGGAATAACCGGTTTATTTTCAGACTACCATTGCCCTCTAGTGTCTTTGTTTTGGATGGAAAAGGATTAATCATTGCTGCTGGCACCATAGGGGGGAGAACAAAAATATTAGATTATTTGCTTTTGTTGCCTTTTGCAGAGTACAGGCAAGAATGCAGATATTCTCAAATGTTCACTCACTGACTTTTCACATGTTTCTTGTTAATACTAAAACAATAGTTGGGCTAAGAGAATTTTCCTAACAAGAACAGTGATTTTGCATAGGTGAAATTTAAAATGAAATCTCTGGAAATCTATTATAATTAAAGAAGCCATATATTTTAAAGGAAAAGGTGGGGTTTTTGTGGGGGAATTCTTCTCAGCCTTTGATATTGTACCTGTTGTAGTAAATTTCAAAATATCTCAGATAAACTTACTTTCTCCTGCCATCAGCAATGACTACATTGTGAGGGATGGATGCTGCTAATGTTACAGCAGTGCTTGGAAAATAAAAAGCAGTACGTAAAAACCTGTGGAAAAAAACAAACTGTGGCCTAAGGATGAGGACAGAGAAGGAAAGGAAGAAAGAGGGGTTTAAATGAACAGTACCAGTAGTATTTTTCTGTGGTTTTACCTATCTCTTGGGAATAATGTTCCTCTCTTTTTATCCACTCACAGATTATTCAGTGACGTCCTGCTAACAAACTCTGAGAAACCACAGTTTAAGGTAGAGTTGAATATTGGTTTGCTGATGTTTATGGAAGTGCCAGGCTGTGTTATCTATGCATTAACTGACAGAGAGGGTAGAGGAGAACGGGCTTTATTTGCCTTATGACTCTTGCCAGCAGTATTTGGATTCCTGTGATGAATTGAACCCTTAGAAAGGGGCCGTGATGTGAGCTATGAGTGTTTGAGTTGCTTTCCTGAAGCCCCTTTGTGTAGCTAATGATGATGCTCTATCTGAGCAGAGGCTGCCAAGCAATGTGGGTCCCTTGCAGTGAGAGGAAACACCTTGTGGAGCTGATCTTGCTACGTGAGACCATCAGCACATTGCTACCAGCTCCAGTGCTGGGACATTTTGGGAGCCACATCTGGTCCCACTGGGGAGCTGCCCCAGGGCACTTCTCCTGGAAGACACGTGCCATGTGTCTTGTCAGCCTCATGGCAGTTTGGGGATGTGACTGGAGTATCAAAATGGTCACCCGTCCCTGCCTTTACAGTTTCTTTGTCCCTGCTGTTATTTCTGAGTGGAAAAACATGCATCTAATTTTCTATTCACTAAAGGAATGGTGCCAGAACTTGGGGCTTTAGATGAGCAATGTGATGAGTGGTGAGGTGCAAGCAGTCAAGTTTTGTTTTCCTTTATCACATTTTGTGCTATGTTTTTGTTCCCCATTCTGTATTAGATTCCTACCAAGCTAAAAGAGGCGTTGAAAATCTCCAAGGAATGCATAGAAAAGCGGTTAACAGAAGAACAGAAATTGGTAATGTCTGTGTTTCTTTATTTCCTACAGAAATTTCATTTCCTCCTATCATTTTTACATGCAGAAAACAGAGTTTTTACTCAAAAGTGATTTTGAGTAATATAGGCTTTCATCAGCAGATTTGCTTTTCCAAAAATGCAGTATGAGAACTTGTAGAACAGCTCTTGACTGTGTGGCATTTCACTGTTTCGGGTGATGCAGCTTCACAGGCAGTGGCTCCCAAGTTAAAGGATAATTTTAACTGCAGTATGAGCCTCCATGCTTTACTAGCAACAGTAAAGATAAAAACTAAAAATTAAAAAATAAATCTAATTAACTGACTACAATATATTTTCTTGTACCCCAAATGTGTTGCTTGAAAACATTTAAGATCTTAACATGGTTCTTTTTCCAATTTTTCCTTCATTTTGAAGATTCACCAGCACAGAAGGCTGACAAGAGCTCAATCTCATCATGGCTCTGAAGAAGAAAAAAAGAAAAGGAAGATCTTAGCACGAAAAGTAAGAAATATTTATGTAGGTTTCTCACACAGAAAAAAATACTCCTGCAGCACTGTCTGCTTTGCTCTTCCTTTCTGGTGGGTCAGTTTTCTGCCTTTCCCTTGTAATCAGAGGGCACTGGAGTTGCTCTGACGCCTGCCTGGGGATACTTGAGCACACAACAGCCTTGCTGCTCTTGTCAGCATGGGTTGGGGATGGGGGAGAGGAAAGTTGGGCATTGATAAACCTTGTGTGATACTGTAGATGGCTGTTATAAATCTGTTTGCCAGTTCAGTCCTTATCACAGAAAGTGATTATTCATTCCCATCTTCTATTTCCTCTGCTTTCTTTCAAAGAAGTCAAAACGTTCTGCCTATGAAAGTGGGGAAGAACACTCAGCAAAATACAGCAACTCAAATAACTCAGGTAACTACAGAGAGAAAAGTTTGCTTCTAAACATCTGTGTCATTTTTTTGTTGTTACTGTCATTTTCTATATGAAAAGATCCAGGATTACCATCAGTTTACGTGCTAATATTGGACTACCAAAGCCTGATAACCACTGCTTTGGGTATTTAATAATAGATAAATTGAGGGCTTAAAAATATTGTCAGTGTTAGATTTCCAGCTGCTTAATTTAATGTTTCTCTCTTCTGTGCCCCATTCTTAAAAAAAACAAACAAACAAAACCAAACCCAAACCAGTCAGTCTCTTTATTGAGACTATATTTGAGTTGAATAACAATATTCATTATTTGGGCTATTTAAGAATGGAGTCTTCAGGGAGACCCTTTATGGTGATCTGTATTACATGGTAAGATGTAATGATGAATGAGAAAATTATCTGTTTAAGTGTTGCTTCAGTGCCAAATTCCAAAACAGCAGAGCCTTTGACAGGTCTTCATTTAGTTAGAAGGTATGGAACAGATAAAAATTGACTTGCTTGGCTAAAATATGTCCAAAAGCAGCTTGTTGTGGAGTAGTTAGATATCAGAGTAACTTGTGGAGTACAGCAACTGACTGAATATCATCTCTTAGGAGAGATGGGTGCTATCCATGCAGTGGCACAACTTTTAAGGGAACAGAATTTGGACACTGAAACCAAATAGCCTAAGCAGCAGAAAAGAAGTGTTTCCTAGAGAGGAATAGTGTTGAGTGCACTTCCTGTGTGTTTGGAGGTCCTGTGATGCTCTGTACTGTAAAGCTACTCTGTTCAGATTGGGTCCAAGTGACACTCTTCCTATGAATGGGAATCTTTCCCAAGATTTCAGTGGAAGAAGGATTGGATCTTCCATCAGTAAAACTGTCCTGTTTCCAGCATTCTGTCTTGTCTGACTGTTGAGCTGCCATGTCACAGCTGTAGTTACTAGACTGTTGTTTTATTTAGCAGGCTCTGGGACAAGTTCCCCGTTAACATCTCCATCATCCCCCACTCCGCCCTCTACAGCAGGTAAGTTCAAGAGTCACTATTTTATGGTTTTGTGTTTTTTTTATTGCCCTCTGCTCCTCAGTGGTGAGTGTTTTTTCCAGGGATGACTAAGGGATGGTGGTTTTCAAGGATGGAACACAGAGATGACAGTTATCTTGTGTCAGCCTGTGTGGGCACGTGCTCTCGTTTGAGGGCCATAGAGAACCTTTTGATAGTTTTCTTTTTCATTTAATAACCTTTCCTGAGATATACATGATATGATTTATCCACAGAGTGTAAGTGCTTGCTTCAAAGTCTTTTTTACTTCAGACCTACTGACAATGCTACTTTCCAGACATCTTTTGGGCCTCATGTTGCAGTATGTATTTGTTCTGGTGTTAATGGTCTGTTAATTTTGAAATACTGCTTGTTCATCCCTTGTGTATTGTCTCTTTACTCCTGTACTGCTGTGATGTATTTTCAGAAATTTTGGGTGTGACAAATTCAGTGGTTTAGGCTGTGGAAAATCTCCCCAGTTCTGCTACAACCCATTGATAACCCACTAGAGCTGGTAGAAACAAGACAGAGACTGATTTGGGTTAGAAATAATATCTTTATTATTTTTGACCAGTTCTGTTTTTCAGTTTTCAGGGTAGCTGTGCAGACATTTGCTAATGTTTAGGACAGGTGATGCGAAGCGGTGAAGAATCTGCTTGAGTGAGCAATAAAAATCCTCTGAAAGTTTGATTACAAATCTGAGTATTGAGCAATAGTGGATGTTCTTCAGGCTGAAAGGTTGGAAGAGGAGCACTGGCAAACATTTCTAGAGGGGAAGCAGTCCATAGCATTGCAGTCTGTTATGGTGACTCATACCATAGGATTTCCAGTCCCAGGAACTTTCTGCACAGCACAACTCAGTAACTAACGTGATGCAATCAAATTTGTGTTTGCTGTGAATGATCTTTCGAAGGACACTGCAGTCTGTGTGATGTAATTCAAATCAGTCATGCTGAAATTCAAATTAGTAATTTCTCCTTCAAGTTGAGGGGTATGAGAAATGTGCATCTTAGGAACTAACTTCTCCCACTTAGCCTAAACAAAATAATTACTGTTACTGTGTTGCACAGTAACAGTGCTGCTCTCAGGATGCACCCACTGTTAGCTGGAGGGTTTGTTGCAAGTTCTGTGTGCTTTAATAAAGAAGTAGCCGAAAGTGCAAAAGAAAACCTCTTACCTCCAAAATGGACCGATGTTTAGCAAACAATTTTTTTCTTTTTCAGTAAAACTACCTTTTGGTTATATTTTAACTTGGACTTGTTGGAACTTGGTTGAAAGCTTTTTCAAGTTTTAAGCATGTGATGCAGGTTTATGTGTTGATGTGACTCATGGCTAAAAAATGGCTCAAGTTTGGGCTCAAAACTTGTCTCTGTTCAAACCATATTGTCACAGTGTCTTGTTCACCTTGCTGCCAGTGTGCTCCTGATGACTTGTGGTGATCAGCCCCATCTGACACGGTGCATGTGGCCCTACCTGCATTCATGGGAAAGGGCTTTAGTGAGCTGATGGCTTGGATGTTGTTTATGAGGTGTAAAGGCAAGTGGCACATTTTCAGGAATGCTTTTGTGAGTGGAATTCACAGAAGAAATTTCAGATTTAGTTCTAAGAGAGAACTAGTGTGCTGAATTTTTTCACCAGCAGTGTTGTAGTTTTAGCTGTTCTAAGCAGGTGTGGTATTACTGGCTCAATGAAAGACCCACTGGCCCCATGCTAGGACTTTGTGACAAGTGATGCCTTTGTAGCTTGTATCTCTCTCTTCCAGTTTCCGTGTACTTACTAAGGGTATTTACCTCTAAACCAAAATTGCTTGTGGGTATCAGTGTGGTGAGGTGATTCTCAAAAGGGCACTGAGGCTTTCAGTCTGTCTGTATGGCTTGGTTGTGGTCGTGTTGGAATCAGGGCATCTCAAAGCATCCTGGTGATGTGATGTCAAGGCTCTTGCCATCATCTGGTAACCAACCAAACCAGTGTGATGTGTGGGTATGTGCAGAGCCAGAGGCACTGACCAAAGGGGAGCGGGCTCCAGACTGACATGTCCTGGGGAAGGAACCTGTTCAGGGGTTTTCTCACACGTGGAAAGGTGGTTTGTCTCTGAACAAAGGCCTTGTGAGATGTGGCTTGCACCAGAGTGCTTGGTCGATGGAAGACAGACTAAGAAATACAATGGTGGTTGGCTTTTGCTGTCTTTGTAATGGCAGCTGCAGCTGTAGGACTGAGTGCACGGCCTGCTTTGAGGGGAAAGGTGTCCACTGGAAACATCGTCTCCTGTGGGCTGCTGTCATTGATGAGAATGTTTTGGGCTGGTGGTGTTGCAGATACGTGGCTAAATAACATCTTTGAAGGACATTGGTTAGATCATGGCAAGTGATTCTAATGCAACATCCTGTGTTTCTGATGTTCTCCCTTGAAGTTCTGGTTCTTTTTTTCTCCACAGTTCTTTGCTTCCTTGAAAATCTGTTTGTTTTCTTTGTGGATATGAGTTGTGGATAGGATCAGAAGAGATACAGAACATTGTGATATGGGTTATTTAAAACTTCGCTGCATCTTCTCTAAATCTAATAAGCCCATAAAATACCAGCATGATGTTTTACAACAGAGAAAAGTTTGTGGGGTGTTACTTTTGCTTTCCTGGGCTTTCCTGCAGGAACAAAGCGAGAGTTGTACTTAACAATCTTTGTCTGTGCCAATTATTCTAAATCCTTCAGCACAACATATGTTTCATTGGCACCCATATGGTGCATCTTGCCTGCCCTTCACCTTTCTGTAAGACAAGTTGAATGCTTTAGGAAGTGCTTTTCCCGAGTGTCTCTGACCCACAGGTGTAAATACAGGTGTTAATACAGCAGGAAGTGTTCCTTGAACTGAGTGGATTTCGTCTCCTATGGCTAATCTTCCTGCAGATTTCTTGCTAAATTTCTCTAAATGCACTTTAATCCTATAAAGGCTGAATTATGGCATGTGCAGCTGGAAGCATGTGTGTTGTATTTTGTTGATCAAGTATAATAATGCCTAGAGCGGGGAAAATAGTGCTTCATTATTCAGAATTGGACAAAGTATTGTAAATGTGTATTGAAATAGTCAATCCGCTGTCCTCGTATTTGTCAGTGAATAAGAATGTATTGACTTTTGTACTAACTTTTCAGCTAACAGTATCTATTTTTCTTACTTTGACACGAGAACCGGATGATTAACTTGTGTCCTCTCTCTTTCTCTACTGTCTTCAATAGAGCATGCATCATTTTGAACGTGAATTTTCGGAAAAGTAAGCTAATGCTGATTTATCTCTTTAAAGATGCTCTGTTTCTGAATGGGAAAGTTGAATGCAAATCTTGAATTTACTTAGTATTGGGAGGGAGTAGAAGAAAAAAATCTGAATGTTCCTACATATTATTTTAATGAAATACAGCATCTTTAAAACCTCACTAAAATGATTTTCTTTGTTCGCATCCCATTCTCAGCCAAGTTTTTAATGCTGTTTGCACAATTACTGTCACTTTAAATTCATAATTAAGTTTTTGTTTCAATTCAGGCATCAAGTTTACAGCATCTGATTTACTTCCTATTCCTTTTAACACACTCTTTTAACAAAAATGTCCCTGTAAAAACCCTTGGTAAGTTCTTGTTTGAGTGTTTTATTCTTACTACTGCATGAATGAGTAGAATGTGTGTGTGCAGGCAATGTCTTCCAACATGTGTATTGGAAAGGCCTACTGACAACTGAGCACTTGTCTTCAGTGTTTTTTTTTCTGGTAAATATAGGAAAATATATCACTGTTGGGCAGAACAGTTTAATCTGTACATGTAACTACATATGAGTACACGTGTGTGAACTCCGATGTCCTTTTCACCACTCATGTCAAGAAGGGAGGGACAGCTTGGTTTGGATTGACTAACTGAAATGAATGGATATGAAGAGTTTTGGAGTCATGCTCTTAATTACCAGGCTCAATGTGTAATGCTCATGACTAGTCACATACCATTCTGAGCCCTGTATTTATGTTTTAAGGCAGAGCTCAGGTGTAAGAGTATCATTGTCTGTTATCAGTCTCACAAGAGTTTTATTGCATGATGTTGTCAGCAGCTCAATTTCAATAATAGTGAGTCTTGAGGAATTTGACAATTTTCCAGGAAGGAAGGTGACCTCTCCCCCTATACTTCCCTGTCTTTTCTACCCAAAATAACCAGACCAAAATTTGAAGATAGACATGGAATCTTGGCCCAATAATACTTAGTCATCCAAGCATTTTGTGTCATTTTTGCCCCCCCGTCAAACATGTGCCTTTTCCCCTGCACGTGTTACTGTTGTATTTGTATTCCCTGCAGTCCTGGCTGCTGTTTTCGTGGTCAATTCCCTATTGCATCTTGTACAGCTACTTGCATAGCCTCTTCAGCCTCACCTTGCAATTCCAGACAAAAATCTTGTCTTTGTTCTCTGCAGTTCTTGGCATCTCTTTGAAGCCATTTAATCTATGAGTAGCTGCTTTTGCTGCTCTTACAGCAGCTCACCTGATCTGTTTGGGGACAGGCTGGTGTGCCAGTCCTATAGCTTCTGCTGTGACCACTTCAATCATAAAATGGTTACTTGAACTATTCTTGGTCTTGTTCTTCCTTTGGCAAAGTGCCAACTTTTCTTGTCCTGGCAGTCCATCCATGTAAGAAACAGGACTCTGACCCAGGGAATGGTTTTCCAGTATTTCTAAAAGTAAATTGACTTACATCTTTGGCAAGTGTAAAAAGCATATTTGGGTAAGTTAGAAGCCAGTGTGTTTTGTTTTGATTACTTCAGAGAACAGTTGATCCACATGCACCAGGAACATTAAATTGTTTCAGTTGATCTCTGGTATTTCTGTTAGGACTTGAGTATTTCCTCTGGAAGGGAAGAGAGTGAATATGAGCTCAATATGTACTTCCATGTTTTGTTTTCACAAGAGGCTTTCATGCCAATAAGAATTTCTCCTGAAGAGCTGGAATTGCTACAATCACAGCACATACTAATGTACAGTGGCAAAATTGGACACCGTGTGAATACTTTGCATTTTGAGCTTGATTCCATATGGGAGAAGTCTCTCTTCAAAGACTAGTACGAATAGAAAATGAGGGAGCTTTGAGTTATGTCTTTCATCTAGTGGTATAACTGCTTAATAACAGCAGTTATGTTTTTACTGCTACTTGTTAGTCTGAAAACAAGTGTTAGTGAGGAATTGAGAGAGAAATGGAGCACAGAGAACTTTTGTCTGCTTTTTTTTCTGTAGTTGGGCCTTATCCTTCATCAAGTACCTCTTGAGTCTGTGTGGCATGATGTCCTTCAACTGCTTGGTATTTTCTCACTTCATAGCAAGCAGTTCTACTTCAGTAACCATAGTGTCTTGGTTGCCCTCATGTTGTTTTGCTTTGTCCAGTATCTTTGTTCTTGCCACTTATCAGTATATTTGCCTTTGTAGTTTAGAGCTACTGGAAGCAAGTGTTAGAATATAGGTGCCATTTATCTCTCTAGTCTTCATGTGGAACAACTGTGATCTAGATGATGGAGTTAAAATTCACTGCTGAATAGTTCTAAGATACTAATCATTATGCCCCTACTCCTTCCAGAATATATGAGACAAGACAGGCCTATTATTATTACTATACTTGTGCAGAAATGATGGTGCAATGTGCAGCAGCAGAGCTGCCCAAGGTCAGGGTGTTTGGCAGAGCAGCCTAGGGCAAATTAGGTCACTTGCCTGGATCTAAACTGCCAGAAAGCACCTCCATGCAGGCCCTCACTGCTGGACGAGCTCCCCACATGCACTGTGTGGGCTCTGGCTTCCCAGGGAGTCAGGACGTGGAGGCTGAGGAAAGATGATAAGCACACAGTGGATGTACAACTGGGGTGAAGAGCAAGGGCCACAGTGTAAAGGTGGCTGGTGGGAACAGGAGAGGCAGGCAAAAGGTGTGTGTCACAGTGTTGTGGTTCATTCAGTCTGTCAAACACGCATTTGTTGCAACGTTTGAAGAAAGTGGACTGCGGAAGTGTAAAACACTTCCAGAAAACTCTATCTGCAGTTGGTACTTTAAAAATGGAGTATAATCTAACCAAGCAAAATGGTCATCACAAATATTACAGTGATGTGGTCCTTCAACGAACATGAAGTGTGTTAAGTAAGTAAGAGCAGGTAGTAAAATTTGCTTCCAGTCTTTGTAACTGTTCATGTCCCAGAAAGCAAACTGCTTTACTAGGGACAAACAAGAGCTGGGAAGTCCCATTAAGTGATCTCCATTTTCTTCAGAAGACCACATTTGAGTCATGTTTTGCATCAGGCTTCATTTCAGAGGTGTCTCAGATGACACGACTCACCTGCAGATAGAGGGATTTGATCACTTGGGCATTTCCCATCTGTTCTGTTCTTCACACTCCACTGGCATTCAAGGGATGATGTGAGTAGTGCAGGACTGACCAAGTCCAGCCAAGCAGCCACAGTCCTCTGTGGCAGGACACTCCTGGCATAATCAAACTGTATCTTCTCTCCCTGGCTCAACAGGAGCATCGTCCATACCCCCAGCACCGCCTCCGCCGCCCCTGCCACCAGCAGCTCCTCCCCTGAGCGCAGAGGTGCCAACGCCGCAGCCCGTCAGTGCGAGCCGGGGAGCCTTGCTCAGCTCCATCCAAAACTTTCAGAAAGGAACTCTGAAGAAAACACAGACGTGTGACTACAGTGCTCCCAGGATCAGCTGAGGCCACTGGTCACTCCAGGATTGAATTCCCTCTCCCCCTCCTGTGCTGACCCTCCTGACCAGCAACTGACCCAGCGGCACCGATCACGCTGGAGCTCCGTTCTCCCCGATTTCAGCTCTCCTCGAGCAGCAGCACTGCCCTGCCCGAATTGCCTCCCCATGCTGTGCTAAGTACTCCATTCTTTACTTGGGTTTCAATTGTGTTCTTTGGCTACAGTTGCAAGGGTACAGCAGCTTCTATATAGCTGAATACAAATCCGAAAATAGGAATGACCATGATGATGGTGAATTAATGCATTTTTTCCTAATTCTATTCCACCCCTTTTTTCAAATTACAGGGATGTAGTTTTAGTCTGCTCAGTTTTTCAACTCTTTCCATGCACTTGTAACTCATTGTAATTCTTGCTGCATTGAATCAACGAGTTTTGTTTTAGATAATCCAACCTTTAAAGCATACTGCACAGGTGAGGGAACTGGAGAATTAAATCTTATTCCCACCATATTTGCTGGTGGGACAGCTAAAATGCTGTCTCATTAAGCTTGTTTAAATGGACATCCTACCTGCCACTCCAAGGGAAAGTGTTTTTAAATGAGGAAACAGTTGAAATGGGAGTTAACAGGGCACTGGGATGTTATTCTTGATTTAGTTAAATGCAAAGTTACTTCAAGTTAATTCTACAGTTTAAACTTTATTGAAAGATCCTTTTTGATTTAAAACCTTAAACAAATTGCACTTTAAAGGATTATAGATAATCCATTTTTTTAAATTCAAGTACATCAGTGTTTGTTACTATGCAGAGAATGTCTGTACAAAGTTTCATGTAACCTGTGATATCCAGTCATTTTTATTAAAATGTTAATGGAATTCCTTCAGCGATGTGTGGTGGGTATGTTCGGCTGGGATTGGCACCTGCAAGCCACACTTCCTAAGAACCTAAACAGCACCTCTGCTAAAAGGAATACCCCGAAAGGTAGTCCTGGCCCTTCCCTGAAACAGGATCTGAGCTCTTCCACCTGTTTACTGAGGTATGTCCTCTCCACCTGTTCCCTGGGAAGCCACTGACCTGGGGTCAGTGCTGCACAGGCCCCTCAGGGCAACTTTCCCTCTGTACCAGAAGCTGCTGAGGGGAGCCTGGCAGAGCATCCCTGCCTGGCAGGACTAGCCCTCAGCCAAACCCTGGGATGTGGTGTCCTGGCAAAAGGCTGCCTCGACTGCTCCCCAGCTCTTCACACAGTCTGCACAGCTGCTGCTCAGACTCGGGCTCAGTGCAGCTGAATAAAGGAACTCATTTTGTACTGCAAGACCTACAGCGGGAACATGCTGTTGTCAGCCCAGGCAAGGAGTCACAGACACCCACAAGGAGCTGAGCCATAAAAGCCAAGCATCTGGACATGCATTTTTTTTAATCACTCTATGTGACAGGTAGTAAAGAAAAGTTAGGTAGTGTTTCCCATCACATACTGAAGAGGGTCAGGATCTTTATTTAAGCTCTTGTGCAGAAGCCTTTCTGCATGTGTGGAGCTCTCTTCAACCCAAACAGGGTTATCACCTCCTAACCCACACTGTGGGCTGCCACAGCCTCTGTGTAGAGCTGCACTGGCAGGCAGGGCTTCACCCATCCAGTCTGGTCATTCCCTTCTAATAGGCCTTGTGACCATGGGCTCCTGCAGCTGCACAGCACTGGGGGCCTGCTCTTGCTCTCTGCAGTTCTGCACTGAACCACCGCTCCAGCGGGTTTGACACAGCTCCTCTGGTACTTAAAGCCAAGCAAAAACGGAGGATTTTTTCCTCACTCTGAATTTAGAATGGGATTTCTCCACAAACAGTAGCACTAGCCCAACTGTACTGTTCAACAAACAAGCATTACCACATTATTGCATATATGAAGTGTGGCTTAGGGGGTGTAACCCCATATATAAATATTTTGGGAGGTCACTGTACTTTCCCCACTGTACAAAAGTTCATGTAGCTTATACAACACATAAGTTATGGATACAACTTGCCCAACACCAATAATGCTTTGTAAAGCAGGTACTTTAAAACATGTATTTACAACTTATATATTCAATGCTTTCTTCACTGCAAATACTATATCCTTCACTTGAGGTATGCAGTTATCCTCTAAGATCTTTGCGTAAGGCATAGGGACATCGGCACCGGTAACACGCACAGCTGGAGCATCCAAGTAGTTAAAGGCAGGTCCTGAAACAGAAGACAGTGTCAGGTTGCCATGTAGTGTGGTTTTCTCTTGATTTTTGGATTTCATTCTGTTAAAAGTTTTGTTCCTGTAGCTCTAATATTCCAGAGAGTGCTGTTCCTGGTTGTTTATCTTCATTCACTATGGTTTTTGCACCCACCCTGTAAAAATCTCTAGAGCAAGACAGCCAGGCTCCAGCTCCTCAGATATAACCCCTAACTCTGCCTTTGCCAGGCTTTATCAAGAGTAGGGATTGAGATCAAGACATGTACTGCAAAACTTGGTACCTTCCATGATCCTGGCACAGATTTCCGCTCCTACTCCAAACTGGGGCCAACCTCCTTCTACAGTGACGAGATGGTTTGTCTTTACCACGCTGGCTTCCACTGTTTCGATATCCATTGGTCGAATGGTTCTCAGGTTTATAACCTGGGGGGAAAAGGGATGAGAGCTTTGCTGTGACCTGAGCCCGTCAGTCACCACTGTTGGGTACAGGGCCCCTCAGCACTTTCATCTGTTCTGACTTTTAAAGACAGGTCTTAATAAAATTTCTTATCCAGAAACCTGAAAGGCACACGTTGTTAAAGGCAGTTACAAATATAAGCAGCTTGTAGTTAATACACTGAAGTTTTGCAGAGCCAGCATCAGAAGACACTCTGCATTTTTCCCCTGCCTTGAGAGAAAGAGAATGGCAACAGAAATCCCACTCACCTCACACTCTACACCTTCTTTAGCAAGTACAGTAGCTGCTTCTAGACAGTGGCCAACAGGTCTTGAGTGTGACACTAATGTAACATGAGTTCCTAGAAGAGACACAAGTGTTAAAATGGAAAAAAACCCTAAGATTTTAAGCTTTTTTTCCTAGACCTCAGGCTCCTTTCAAGCTAACATTGAGATTCTCTGGTAAATTTAAGTTCCTTATGTTTATTTGAAATGCTGAGTGCAGACATAGCAGGAAGAGAGAAAGACCTATGCTAAGACACAAACTTTACCCTTGAATTCAGGGAACTAAAGAGGTATTTAATATAATTACCAAGTTATCCTTTTCAAACATTCATATAGTTCAGTGGCAAATGATGAACAAGTGGGGTGAAACACTACAGTGACCTCCTTTTGCATTTCTGACAAAAATTATATACTTAGGTAAGGAAAAGAAGTGTTTCAGCCATCACCTACTTTATCTCTACACTGTGGAACAAATCCTGTAGAAGGGTATTGTTTTAACTGAGATTTGGATAATCAGGTGATGTTTCCCTAAAAGGGCAACAGAACATGAAACCATACTATTGGATAAAAGAACATTTGAACACTTGACATTTGAAATACTTTTCTGTGCCCTGTGACAGCAGTACCCTGAATAGCTGAGGTTAAAAGAAGTCCCCAGCCAAGTCAGTTAATAAAGAAACAAAAATATTCTCATCTTACCTTGCCTTTCTATCTTAGCTTTTCCAATTGGAATAACAAATTCCTTTGACTGTGCCTGTTCAGACATTTCAAAGGGAACACCATATAGTAATTCATTTTCCAGCATCACAACTAGAAGAAAACACACTTGGATTAACATGTATGTCTGCAGGCACAGGGCTGCACTCACCATCAGCAGTCCTGCAGCAGCTCAATACACTAAACCCATCCAGGCAACAAGGGAGTGAGGAGCATGTTTGCAGAAGCAATTAAAAAAACCCCACTAAATCAGAGTCTTTACTTCAGTGCTGAAGCATTTAAAAAACTGTCTACAACTAGTCTGAAAGGAGATCACATATTTAACTTTCAGTACATGATACGATCACCTTTTTGAAAGGTCTCCCACTTTTCATTCACGTTTGTGAAAAATAAAGACAAAGGTTGCCCTGCTTTCAATAAATGACATTCTGAATTTATCACCTGAATTTCATGATCTGTAAAAATGGGTTACTTTGGGGCACTGTGTATGCAGGAAGACCTCCTGACTCGTCTTCATCCTTTTTAATCCCTTTATGATAGATTTATAAATGCTTCCAGGTTTCCTGGTTGGAACCAAACTCACACTAAAGCTGTGTACCTGGGCAACAGCACAAAATCAGTCTGCTGTTACCAAGGCAGGGGACTGTTAGGATAAACTCCTCTGTCTCTGTAAGTACCCTAAAGCTGCAGTAAAGAAAACCTGAGTGCTTTAGGGTTTAATGATTTTTTGGTGGTATCTTTTAAACGGAGCAGGAGGGGAAAACAGCCATTCCTTAGGACTGAGCTCCAGGTATTGCTGTGATCTGCCCGTGCTCACCTGGATTGTCATCCCGGATGGACGCTTTCAGCAGACCCTTGGCATCCTCTGCGCTCCAGGGACTGACGACCTTGAGGCCGGGGCAGTGGCCGTACCAAGCTGCGAAGCACTGGGAGTGCTGGGCGGCCACTCCGGCCGACGCTCCGTTGGGGCCCCGGAACACGATGGGAACGCCGATGGACCCCGCAGACATGTAACAGGTCTTGGCAGCAGAGTTTATCACCTGGTCAATGGCTTGCATGGAGAAGTTGAACGTCATGAATTCACACACCGGTCTCAACCCTGCCTGTTAAATACATTAAAATGTATTAGCATGTTTTTACCTAAAAACAGTTTAATTTTTATAAACCAGAAGAGGAAGAATGCAGATGTACAAACCATAGCAGCTCCGACAGCGATTCCTGTGAAGCCCATCT